GGTAGTTTGAAACCGGAATTTTGTAACGTAACCTATCAGTGTTTCAAAATTGCACAATTATAATCCTCTAGAGCTAACAAAATTGTCAATTTTTAACAAAGATAGGTACATCATTTACCGGAATTTTCATATCTGTTGAATTTTCTTCGATGCGAATACATGCATTACTGAAGAAGACTGAATTGGATTTCATTCAAAGCTGAAAATATTACAAATATTTGGCTTGGAGCTTTCCTGATGAAGGTAAATTCAGAAAATGTAAAGTATATAAACATTCAAACATAAAAAGGCAAAAGAAACAACGTTTGAAAACTATGTCTATAGTGAAAGTTTTGATGATTATTGGTGCACTTTTAATGATTTTCTACAAATATTTATAAAAGATACTTCTACACAAGACATCGCCGCGATATAGTTCTTTCGCGCTAATTTGACGTAAGGCAGTTATCAATCAATTAATCTACAAGCGACATTTCATTTTCCATTCAAATCAATTTAGCAAAAAAGTTTAATAAGAGTGAAAGGAGACTAAATATATTCAAGTATTAAAAAAAAGACTGACTATTTGCCATGTTTGCGTATTGTCAACACAAAAGTGTAGAAATTCTTTGAACTCCGTAATACCAAAACAATTTTTAAATTTGTACGTCACAAAGCATATGTAGGATTTTTATTGATGCATCATACCAACATACTATTTTTTTAAATCTGCCCAACAGTTGCCTTTCAAAGATACAATTAATGAAGCATATTATTTTGAAATAAATTGGTATTGATATGACTCCTGTTTAAGTATTGCATCGTAACATGTTTATTTGTGCTGAGATATTTCTCGAACCAAACTATTTTTTTTTCAATAAAAGACAAGCTTAGCTTTATTGATGATACTCTTAGATACTAGTTTTATTACTAAAGCTTTTCAATATTATGTTAGTTTGCTTAAACCGTTGAATCGGATGCTATAAACGTCAAAAGGATGTCACACATTTTGACAGTTACGTGTGTATTGTATTCAATCTAAAATAGCAACTTTACGCGCAAAATGACAAAAGAACCAAATCCCTATCCACATTAAATTTAAAACACATATTTATCTTTGATTAATACATGTTATTGCACAACATCTTTCCGGGTAAACTCTCATATCTAAATTTGTTAGACATGATAAAAAAGTTATGAAATTATTTCCACAGTTTTTTTTCAAGTTTACTTTAACATATGTTTAAATCGGATTTTTTTTTGGAAAACCTTGCATAAATATGCAATACAAATTCTAAAACATAGATAATAATATCTAACAGATTAGTGTCTTTAGCACATTTGAAGGATGTTATTTGAAGTTCAATAACCACAATCCCGTCCTCTATTTTCCCGAATATGAATTATCGAATTAGACTTCTCACCGTGTTTGTACTTGCATGAGCACAATGACGGGTGCCACATCATGAGCAGGATCTCCTTATCCTTCCAGAGCACCTGAGATCACCCCTGGATTTTGGTGGAGTTCGTGTAGCTCAGTCTTTAGTTTTCTATGTTGTGTTTTGTAAACTGTTGTTTGTCTTTTTGGTCCTTTTCTTTTCTTTTTTCCATGGTCTTTCCAGTTTATTTTCGACTGATGACTTTGAATTTCCCTTTGCCATCTTTCGCCTCTCTTGATAACTCCCTCTAATGACGTTTTAAATATCTAAAGGTGCGTCTATATGTGCATGATATGTGTCTTTTCTGTAAATTGACAAATATTTGTCCTGATATGTTTTAGTAAATATATGACAATCCTTATAAGCATGTTTGAATTATATTGATATAGTTCATACGATATAGACATGATAGAAGAAGATAGAGTTCTCATAATTAATTTTCTCGCATGATTTTCCCTTCTTAACTTACTTTCAATAAATGTTTGATTTTCATTGAATTTTATTTAATTTCATTTAAACTCAATTTAGTTTGAATCCTATTCTACCTGAAGATATTGATTTTTGTTATAACCTAGATATAAAAAAAAAAAATTGAGTACTTGTACAATGAACAATGTGTAAATTTGCAGAGCCAGATTTCAAACGCTGATACATCGTCTCTAAAAAATAAAGAATCGACATACCTCAATGCGACATAGCACAGGAATTTCACTTGCCCAGAACCAAACGACAAATGATTAGTGTGAAGTAGTCCCTGAATTTCTCTCATAAATACCGGAGTTAAACCTGCGTTTTTTGGTGAGTTGCATTATTTTTTTTTTTCGTCTAGAATTTTGTTTTTTCTGGTCGTCTCTTTCCGTTGGAAAAGAGTGTTGTTTATTTTTTCGTCGACTTATTGAGTTTTATTTCCATGTTGTCTTTGGAGATTAACTTATTCATTGTTGCAAACATCCTTTCGTAAAAAGATTGCTTGATCATCTTGGTATTTGGACCCAGTGTATTGCACATATCACAGATTTATAAATATTCAATCTGTTCTGAAGTTCTGTCCATACTAGTATCAGACCCAGGGTATACGATGCAGTTTCGAAGATATAAGGTTTCTGTGGTAGGTATACAGTCTTGGTGTTTAGATGGACTACAAAAATGTAAATACTGCAGATGGTCAAAAATGATTTGAGTCAAGAAAGTGTTTCCTAGATAAAAAATATTGAAAATGGCTTTAAAATTCAAGAAATTAAAATGGTTTGAAATTTCACGTTTATTAACTGTGCACGAGATGAAATAAACTATTCCGTAATAACCATATGTAAAACAATGTTTAGTAAATACGTGTATTTGAAATGTACATGTATCATGTTTATATTGTCGTTGCTATCTAATTAAGTATAAAAGTATTATAGTCATTTCGTACCCCCATTTCGTACCCTCGCAAAATCTATTTCGTAACCTGACCATTTCGTACCTAATCGAATATTCAAATATATGACATTTCGTACTTTATTGATTATTTATATGTATGTAAATCATATGTGTCATGGAACATTTGTATGACTGTATGACATTTCGTACCTCATGGAAGATTTATATGACTACCATTTTGCATCTTATTAACGATTTATATAAAAGTCATTTCGTACCTTATGGAATAATTATATGTATGTAATTCCGTACCTTATGGAAGATTTATATGTATACCATTTCGTACCTCATGAAAGATGTATATGTGTGCCATTTCGTACCTCATGGAAAATTATATGTATGCCCTTTTGTACAAACTTTCTCAAATTGAAAAAAAAAGTTCTTTGATTGGTCACATAAGGTGCAAATTCTTATGCATGGCTTTCTTCGTGAGTGAATACCAGCTTGTGTCTTTTTGAAATCACTGCATTACTGGTAAAACATATGTTAAAAACTATAAAAACAACTGCAGATAAATATTCCTTTGTTGGTTTCAATTACCTCATACTTTTAGAGTTGAACAATTATTTAAGGATAAACCCTGCAACCAACACATGACCAAAGTGTAATAAAAACTATTAAAGTTTCCAAGTACTGCTTAATTAATTATTAAACCAATAGGTCTTTAGAAATTTTCTACTGCTAGAAGCATTTTTGTTAGGTTATACAATTTAAAAAAAATGATTAAAATCATCTCAAAACGTTTATTACATATTTTACTTATTTATCAAAAAAAAAAAATAATATTTTGTATACGTCTTGTTGAATGGACCAGTATGCATTAAATATAAAACATTTTGAAAACTTATAAATGGGGAGTATGAAGGATCTTTTCTTTTTTGAAATTTACATTTTTGTTTTATTTAATCTTCAATTCCGATGTTTCGAATAACATTTCAACGATTTACAAGTATGATACGAAATAGTAAACATGTATTTGGTCTATGAAGTACGAAATGATTGATGCAGTTGGCCCATAGGGTATACAATAGTTTTGATCATGGGTACAAAATGGTAAAAATTGGGTACGAAATGATAATTTTGGGTGCGGAACTGTCCAGGTATGAAATGACTAGCCACTTTTAAGTTAATCATTCTATCCTCGTCTTTTAATACATTCATAGAATAGAAATTCATTTAGAACTATACAAATATGTTTTAAATGTTTTTGCATGCATTTTCCACAATTGTTCTCTGTACGTTCTTTTTTAATCCACAAAGATTAATAAAAGACGCAAGTGATACTGTGATAACATGATTACTATGAAAATGTCAATAAAACATGAACGTACATATTCACACATCAAAGACAAATTATTGTGGTTATATCAGATAATCTACAACTGTATGGATATGTGCATATCTCCCTCATGTGAAGCTCTGACCCCTTACCCGCACCTGGCTATACTTGTTTTGGATTTTCAAATGGTTTAGCCTCTATCATCTCTAATCATGCGCATCTGGTGCAGAAAAAATGGTACCGTTAATTTCACGACCACACACTCACTTTTAATCCCAACCAGATATTTACAGTGAAAAAATGCCTTATTAACGTATCTGCATATATAAGCGAATGTAATGTGTCTGTTTATATTATTCTCATACTTGTTATATAAAGTCATCAATCTTATAAACTGGATAAAAAAATGTTTGTGTTTATTTTTATCGAACTAGCGAGTTATATAACTCAAGGAGTACCTGCTAAATAACGAGACATCGTGTTAGTGTATTCGAAAGGCGGGCGATGCAAGTATATCTGGAGATTCTTACCGGTTCGGAGTTCATACGATTCCCCTTTTTTCTCTCTGTTTATATACTCAAAACTGATATAAGAGTTTGAACATCGGTTATCACCTTGTGCGTCTTATTTAACTTTACCTTCCAGTTGATAATATGAACCACTTTGAAATATAGGAGAGATAATTTAGTTTATGTATTTCAATATGTTCCTATGATAACAATAAGACGCTAAAAATAGATATTGAAAGATAAACATATTATGTCATCAATTCTAACCTAATTTTGGTCTATTAATAAACATGTAGATTTTCTGAAAATCCTTATACACACGTAATCTCATTGAATACGTCACTGATATATTTTACCGCTAATGCATATCTCACAGAGACTGCGCACTAAAAAAAAAAAAAAAAAAAAAGACTTCCGTCATTGTAATGGCTGCATGGATATTTTGAATATATCAGTAAGAAAATTTCTTTCTTTTACTATTATGTTCAAAAGTACCCTCTTGGTTATTTTATAAAAAAAAAAAAATTATAGTATGTGTTTCATTTAAGGAAACTATAGGTACATGTTTATGTGAATATATATATGTTTATATCCTCACACCTAATTAAAGATTCATCTCTCCCAATTTTCAAATACTTTCCTCCCTCTCCGATGTACTACTCATTAATTAAAAAATGAACTGAATATTATGTATAATTTTACTTAATAAATAAAGGCAACAGTAGTATACCGGTGTTCAAAAGTCATAAATCGATTGAGAGAAAACAAATCCGGGTTACAAGCTAAAACCGAGGGAAACACATCAACTATAAGAGGAAAACAAAGGAACAACAGGAACACTGAAGTGCAACAAAAACAAACGCCAACATATATAGAAACGAACTATTTGATAATGACTGCCATATTTCTGACTTGGTACAGGACATTTTAAGAAAAATGGTGGGTTGAATCTGGTTCAATTGTTAGCTAAACCTCCTGCTTTATGACAATGTTAAAAATATCGCTAAAATGACAACTCTACGTGACAGAAATACAGCACAGACACATAATATAATATCAACAACAGACACCACAGGATATCACAAACAGTGACGCGCTTACGTAACTAACATGCAATCTCAAACTTTACACGTTTTATTTTCACAATACTCGTCCAAACAATTTTCATGACAATGATGTTATGGAAAGGCACTATAATTATTTGGACTACAAACGATAAGACATAACAGATTATCCAACCGAAACCATAACAGAAACATCAAAAATTAAATACATGAATGTTTGATGTACAAAATACTGAAACACGTCGTTTAGCAATGCAAATTCACACTCGGTATAACAGTCATATTCGGGAATATGACAATGATGGTATTGAAGGGCAATTTTATAATTATTTGGACAACAAACGATAAGACATAACACATAATCAACCGAAACCATAACAGAAACATCAAAAATAAATACATAAATGTTGGATGTACAAAATACCGAGACACCTCGTATTGCAATGCAAATTCACACTCGGTATAACAGTCATATTCGGGAAAAGGTCACGTTCGGTTCGTGACAGACAGACGACATAGATGTTAAACCACAATCTGATAATCTTGGTATAGTCTGAATATGGCCTCGACAAAAGTTTGGTTCATTGTTGTCAAATTAAAGGATTTAATTAATGGGTAAAAAAGCTAGAATTTTCAGTTCTGATTAAATTCAGATTCAGTCAACTTTGAACTTTTTCAAATCAACTTGGATTTTCATAAAACTTTGCAGCTATCTCAATTAATAAGCTGGAATTTTCAGTTTGGACTAAATTCAGATAAGATACCTATAAACTAAATCTTTAAATTTAGAATTAAAATGTCGAGTCTTGTCAAGTAAAATATGTGCTCGACCTTAATGGTCGAGCACAAAATATGGTCTTTTCAGACTCTGAGCAGTTTGTAGTGCTTTGTATTTATAATTTGTCAAAATATGATTGTCATTATTCACAAGTTTTATTTAATGATCATTTATTGAAAATATTTCTTTTTTTAATTTGTTAAGGCATGCGAATGAACCATGTCAAAGCACCCCTACATAAATATTATTTCTCACCAACAGAATCTATCAGAACACTTGAGAAAACCAACACTGGTCACTTGAAGAGATATTTACTCCAAATATAATGAACAGGTGCAGTCTACATGGACAATGAAACACTAATGATGTTTTTTTCAGGACACTTAAAATTGACAAAATGTTGAAAATCTTTACATGTATTATTTCTTAAATGCTTATATATCCTTTGCACAAGCTATATGTGAATTTGAGGATTTTTTGTACATATCAGAATTTGTACAAGCACCTTGTGGAGAAATTACTATGTGTACAAAGTCAAAATACAATATTCGATGTGTACAAAAGGTTGTTTCAAATGTAGTGTGTACAAATGTTTTGTTTTAAATTTGAAGATAATTATATTTTGTACATAATTTAGTGTTATTCGTATTATATATTAAATTTATAATTTAATAGACACTTTAGCTTCTTAACGCACATCAAACTATGTCTTTATAACATTTCTAACATCAACCTTATCTATGTATTTCATTATATTTTATAGGCACTTTCTCTCAGTAAAAACTAATAAAATGGAGATCGATGTCACCGCAGAAGATGTCACTCACCTCCCTAGTCTTGATTACAAGTTGAATGTCTGCCTAGTTAATATTTCTAGGGAAATAACAGACGAGGACTTAGATATCATGAAATGTCTGATTTCAGGTAACCCATCTAAGATGTTATTAACAGTAGTGTGATTGTAATATTATGACTGGCAATGAATTTTCATCAAAGTATAGTGTGAATAACTGTCATGCAAGTAGATGACTTCACTTATTTATATACATGTACATTAAGCATGTTACGTTATGCTATTAATGAAAAAAATAATGTCTAACTGAATATAATTTAATGTGAACAATTTTAGTTTTTGATTCTTTTCATTTACGACAACGTTGAATAACTACAAGTGCAAACAAATAAAACTTTTAATTTCTATTTAAATATTTCGGATTTCGTTATATTGATAAAAAGGAAAATTCAGAAAGTGTCTGATATATTCCTGACATCATTTTATATGATATTTATATGTATAAGATATATTCATATTCAACTCTTTTATATGTTGTTGTATAAATAGGCGAACAAGGATCTCCAAGAGGTGTTCTAGAGAAAATAACCACTGCTTTAAAATTGTTCGAACACCTGAAAGGACGATGTCTACTTTCAAGGGACAATATCCTATGCCTCCAGGCAATGTTGTACCATGCTCGACGCATTGATCTTTTCAAAGAATTGCTTGCATTTGCGGAAGAAAGAGGAGACACATTACACTGTTATCCAGAATCTGATAGACCAGGTATTTAAATACACGAATCCATGTAATTAAAAGAAAATAATACGCTTACCGTAGTCATGGTCCAAAATACACTTGGCTTTGTCATATACCTTCCGATAGCATTACATGTGTAGTCTTTTTTTGGCCGGTCCTTAGAAAGTAAATTCCCAGGGTCAAGATTCAATGCTGAACTAGCCTCAATATTTTGTATTCCTTATGTTGTGAACAATAAGATTATAAATGAAATTATGTTCACCTTCTCGAAAATATTGAATTGTTTTTGAACCTACACAAACGATTGTATATATGTTATTACTATGTATCTATTCTCAATCAGTAAAATTGATTAAATTGTCCACTATAGTAGCCATCAATTACAGCTTAAACAGTACAAGTCACTGTTATTTGCTAAAAATTGTCATACGAGTTCCAAGGCTTTAACTAAAGTAATAATTGGCATTGATAAAGTGACAAAAATATTAAAGTGGATAAGGGAGGAATACATATTGTAAAATTTTACATTCACGTAATGTTTTCCTTGATGGTCAGACGATGCAAGACCATCTTAAACTACATCGCTTTGTCCTTAAAATTATATTCACAAATAGTGCGATCAGCCATTTCAACCGACGCATACTAATTGGTTGCACCTGTCACTTCTTTGCATAAGACAAGGAACATATGATGATGATTTGCACTACATTCAAAAGTCAGCTAAATTAATTGCAACCTTATTCTTTTGTGTTTTTTCGAGGTTAATGCTATTAAAGATGTTAAATGTGATACGTTTACATTTGCAATATGTGATGTAAAGCATCACTAAGGAGAAATGAATGTGTATACTAAACGTCTAATGTTTTACTTAGTAAATGACGTTGAATATTACAAAACCTGGTAACCTGTTCTTATGTACTGGTATGTTATTGGTACTGTTTCAGTTGGGCTTTTTGAAATGCTATCCGTCCCACAGGCGAAAGTTCCTCAAATGGATTTTCATGTGATTCATGTTTTCATAATAATTTATATTAATTCTTTAACATTTGACGCTTTTTTCGTAACTTTATCATTTAAGTAACTATTGGCATCTAAATGTGTAAGTTCAATATGAAACTCCTGTGTTTAATAGTTCTGGCTTTTCAAATAAGTAAAACACAAATTAATTACTATCATATATAGTACATTAATTATCCGTCCAGAAAGCCTGTATAGATTTTGTTATCCCATAAGAAGTTTTTTTCCCAATCTTTCGACATTACCTTCGAAAAGGACGGAAATAAAGTGAGGAGGGTTTTGAAACAATAAGATATTTGTGATAGAATATCCGTGATTATAATACTCAAATGATTATTAGTAAGGAGTCTTTTTTTAGGAACATTGAAGCAATCTTCTAATCAGAGACGTAGCAAATCAATGTATCTTATTATTCTAATTTTGACAAATGAAACTAAGCTGTGGTTGGCTCTATGACAATATTTGTCAAAAGTGAGTTTATGTACTGATGGCGTCAATAAAACTGTTGATTAAGTAACTTACTTATTATGTCTCAAACAAAATATGAAATACTCCTTAGACATATATCTAGTATATTGAATGAAATACAACTACATATGTAGGCAAATACATTGTATATTAATATACATTACTTTTTTTAACGAAAAAATATAAAGTAAAATATTTTGTATAAGTTTAGTTAACTTTTCCATTATATTATTTATTATTCCTTATAGTTTCATTCATACCTTATGCATGAGATGTTTATTAGTCCCCTACCGACGAAGTCGAAGGGGACTTTAGGTTTGCACTCCGTCTGTCTGTCAGTCCGGTAAATCAGTTTTCCACATTTTTTTTCTTCGTGCTTGATGATATTGATTTGATATTTAGTATATTGTTTTATCATGACAAGTTACAGATCAAGTACGAATTTTGTTCCGGTCTGATAATTTTGTGCAGAGTTATGGTACTTGGACTTAGAATATTCACTCAAATTAGCAGTTTTCCACACTTTTTATCGTCATGCTTGAAGATATTGATTTGATTATTGGTATATAGTTTAATCATGACAAGTTACAGACCAAATTCAAATTTTGGTCTGGTCTGATGATTTTGTGCAGAGTTATGGTCCTTGGACTCAGAAAAATTCACTTAAAGAATCAGTTTTCCGCACATTTTTTTTTCGTCATGCTTGAAGATATTGACTAGATATTTGTTATATAGTTTACACCCTGACAAGTTATAGACCAAGTTAGCATTTTGTTCCAGTACAATTATTTTTTAACAGGTAGGGGACTATGTATTGCCATGCAATACTCTCAGAATGCTTGTTCCATTTTGTTTATACAGAACTGCAGAAAGCTATGACTATTGTCTGATTCATTCTGTGTGATTATTTATTCTATAAACTGGAGGTATTACGTAAAAACTCATAAAATATGTTTCGTAGAAATAGAGATTCTTCGGTAAATAATTAAATTTATATTACTTGATATCTACCCTCCCCCGCCCCTATAAAAAAAACGAGATACAGAATATGAGATCTCAGCGCACACCTTGTTTTAGTGTCAGTAATTTGGAGGTAGACGTTTTCAACAATTCGTTTGCGTTCCTATGAAAAGAACTGTGCGCCTCTCCTTGCCGATCTATTTGTATTATCATATGAGTCGGAGTTCCTTCAGACACTTGTCAAAAACAAGAAGATAAACGAAGCCATATAATTTGATTTCAAATTCATATATATTGATTATGTTCTTTCCATTAACAATACAAACATTTCTGATAGGGTTCCATTAATATATCCTCCAGAACTAGAAATTAAAGAAACAACAGACACGGCTTCCTCTGCCTCATTTTTCGACTTATATAAAAGTGGTCATCTCAGTACCAGAATCTTTGACAAACCAAGGTTATGTCAAAAAACGTCTCGTCCTTGTTTTAAAAAAAATTAGCGGTAGATACCAAGACCATGTTGATAAATATTTCGTTTCAACTACACCATAATGCATGATGGTCTTGAAGTATAGATTCTAGGTACTGACGGTATGATCATATAAATAACGTGTAATAGTGTTCTTTTACTATATTTTTGTATTCATTTTTGCTCATGTGCTTTGTCTATACAGGGTCTATATGTCATTTTTATATTGTTGACATAGTTGTTTGTTTTATAGTGATTAAATTTTTTAAAATTTTTACCTATTATATCTGTTTGGTTAACTCACACATTGTTGTCAATATAATGGAATTCTATGCGACTGTCATACAAGTGAAAGGTTTACCTAGCTATAAATCTGGTTTAATCCACCATTTTTTTACATAAAGAAATGCATGTACCAAGTCAGGAATTTGACAGTTGCTTCCATTCGTTTGATGTGTTTGAGCTTTTGATTGGTAAATTTGTTAGTTTGTTTTTGTTATGATTAATACAAGTGTTTATTTGTTGATCTATTTTATTAATTTTCCGCGTAAACTGTTACAACGTTTTAGAGCCTAGCAAATATTCCAACATGTTTTATATTTTCTGTACATTCAAAGTTTGCTTAGATAATATCGCGAAAGTTACATTAGAACGGATCTGGCAGATATCTTGTCTACAAATTTATATTCTATCATATATCCCCTTGAACAAACCTACTGTTACACCACTGACCCAGTTAAGATGAAGTGTTTGGCGACAGCAAAAGCCCGCCGAATTCTGTATTTTACCTGAACGAAGTCAGGAGCCTGTAATTCAGTAATTGTTGTATGTTGATGTATAACATATTTGTTTTTCGTTTATTGTTTTTTACATACATCAGACCGTTATTTTTATAATTTTACATATGTCATTTCGGGGGTCTTTTATAGCTAACTATGGCAGATGGGTGTTGATAATAGTGGAAGGCCGTACGGTGGCCTGTAGTTAATTATAGCGACATTTGGTCTCTCTAGTGGAGAGTTGTCTCATTTGCAATCATACCACATTTTCTTATTTTTTTAATAGTTACGTATTTTAATAAAAGAAATCTTTATCAATGTAGGATTTAGATTAATTACATATAATCAGTAGTTTCATTTGTAATTTTTCTATACCCGAGAAGATTTAAAGTATAATATATACACGTGTCAATAATTGATAATATTTTAGAAGAAAGAGATTGCAGTAATAAAGTTTTTTCGTTAGTTATGAAAAGAGAATTTATTTGAAACAAAAACATAAAAGGAAAACCTTGTAAAATCTATATAGTATTATTTGAAGCATACTTGTAATCATTTACCTGTGTCCTTCTTACCAGAAACATTTTTACCTTTTCAGTAAATGGTTACAAATATGTAAGATTCCATGTAGCTGGAACAAAAAGTAATAACAGAAGCACATTAGAAGCCATACGATCGGCCGCTAGTACGTATATGAATGTACCTTCTCATTTTGTAACAGTTCAGGGGATCCAAGCTACTCAAAGCTACTTGATAACATTTATGGTACCAGAGCACTGCATAGAATATGTGACCAGATTAAAACCATCCGAAAAACAGTGCTTACTATCTCTTGGTGTGGATTTTATAGTTGTTGAGGGCAAAACTATTACGTTACAAGGTATATATCTTTTTACAATTTGTTTGTTGGAATGCTATGGTCTAAACAAAAGTATAGCGTAGTGGTTGTCATCTATTATACAATGTCATGTAATCTGATGCAATTCGTATTGTCATTAAAATTATAAAGAAAATACAGACTGACTACTTTTACTCCAGCTTATGAACCTTTGTAATAACGCATGTGTACAATATGCAGGCTTCACGCAAAATTATTTGCCGACTGAATAAAAGGCAGCCATCAGCAGGCCAGAACAATTATTCGACCATCAGGGTACTTTTTTTTTTGTTCTAGGAAGATGAACAAATCAATATTTGCAACATCCGCTACAGATGTAAGCTTTCCAAATATTCTATTAATTTAAAACCATGTACATTAATTTATGTTTTATTTGGAGAAAACAAAACTTGCTTCCAGAGCAGAATATTTTGCGGGCTAATTATATCTGGGCATAACGGTAATATTGTCAGTGAAGTTGTTAATATGTCATAATTGATTACTGTTAATATCTTCACATACCATTTTCTTCATCTGTTTCTATAAACTTCTGTTCCTGTAGTCCTTGGTTGTCAAGGACGTCAAGCGTTTTAAATATTTCTCTTATGGTCATAAAGTCAGACTTAATTTAGTGGAACGGATCGATTTAGAATAAACGTAACCTGTTTTTCTGCCATATAATACGAATTTTGATAACATGTTTTAACTGCATTTCAGATGCAAAGCTCGACAAAAAACCTATACCAGGTATACAACTGAATGAAGAACTACAATATTACTTTAAAAGAAATGTCACTCTTCAAAAACAATTAGAACAATACCAACTCAACGAAATTAATGCTGGATTTAAACTAACGACTGCTTTATCTAGATCACTGACACTGCTCTTAACATTTCTTTTCAATATGGTAAAATATAGGTCGACAAAGTTTGTAGATTCAATATCGGTACAAAGTGCACATAATTATTTCCAACATAGTTTGGAGAAAGTTAAAGGTTTGGGCTATGATGTACACGTTATTCAGTCATTGTTAGAAGCACAGAGCATAATTGTTAGAAAACAGAAACTAGAAGAACATCGACTTTTGATTCAACAACAACAGTATCAAATTCGGAATTTAGAACATGTTGCAAGAGTTGTACAATATGAAAGAGATAAACTAAAATACTTTCTAGGGCTGAGTGTCCACGAAGAAGTACTTTCTAGAAACGACCAATTTTTTATTCATGGTATTATGGAAGCCTTGCCTAGTATATCTGTTAAGTATGGATTAGGTAAATTACTTTTAATTTTTAACCAATCAACACCAATTCATACAATACAATATTTGATTACATGTGAAGTAACTTCTTTTCACCTGAACACGACAAATCCGTAAATATTCTGTATATTGATTGGACTAACAGATCCTTTATAAAAAGAAACAATATCAAAAATACAGATATATAACAAAACAAAAAACCTTCAAACAAAAGGAAAAAACAGCGTTAAAGACATATCTATGATGGTCTCTATTAAATTTTTCACATTTATTGAGACTCGGGATGATTAAGGTCTTGAAACATTGTATAGATACCTGTTTGTTTTTTAAGTACTGTATGCTGACCCGTAGATATGCTTTGGTCATTTGTGTCTCAAATTAGCTGCTTTGGTTACATTTTCTATACATCAAATTGTATTCATAAAAAAATAAACAAATAATGATAATTAAACAAATGTGACTGACAAAACTAAATCTATACCCTACTAAAAACCCGTCAAAAACACAAACAATAAGCTAAAAAATATAAACTACAACAAACAGATAACAACAACAACAAAACAAAAAATTCGATTTTTGTATAAACCCACAAAACTCCAATAAAAATAACCTGTTTCACCAAATAATTTCAAACTAGATTTATATCATGCCTCAAGGACGTCACTATAAAAATAAGGAGATGTTGTATAGTTGCCAATGAGACAACTATCCAACAAAGTTCAAATGAAGTGGATGTAAGCAACTATAGGCAACCGTACGGCCTTCAACAATTAGAAAAATCCATACAGTATAGTCGGCTATAAAAGGATCGGACATGAAAAATATGAAACAATTCATTTGAGAAAACTAACGGCCTAATTTATAACAAAACAATTTACGAAAAACAAAAATGATAGACATGAACCAACAACAACCACTGAACTACAGGCTTCTGAATTGAGAAAGGCACATATAGAATGTGGCGGGGTTAAACTAGTTTAAAGTCGCCAAACCTCCCCTTAACCTGGAACAGTGGTGTAAGGGCACAAGATAAGAAAATATTCTGCAAAACAATAAATGAAACAAAAATGAGAAACAGCAAAAAACGGCAACCACTCAATCACAGGCTCCTGACTTGGGACAGGCAAATATAGAATGTGGCGAGGTTAAACTAGATCACTGCGAAGTATTTATCAGCGTATCATAATACCAAAATACACTCGTAATCAATTTCAATTCAATACAACTGCAATATTACAATTTTAGTTTATCTTTTTATGACATATACTTAAATGGACATGTGTCCATTTTATCCCTTTAAACCTGAATTACGAACTTTTATGCCATAAACACTAAAGTAAATATGAAATTAAAGATGACGTCAATAATTTAATGAAATTTGAATTAAATAATGATCATTTGATTTTAAAAATATTGTAACAACCCATAAGCTTAAACACGGGTATTTAAGGAAAATTTGTAGATTATAAAAATATGGCAATAATCAAATTCTAAATTTATAGACAAATTGAAAGGTTTAAGATCGTTAGTTATTTACTTTTTATTACGTTATTCACGCACGACAGCTTTCTCGCAATTAGCATAATAATTATGACATAAACATGATAGCTGATGCTCATTTTACTAATTTTCAAGGTATACTGGTAGACCTACAACAACTGAGGCCTTATTTAGAAGAGGCGAGTACATTTCTGACCAAGGCAGATAGAAAACGTCTGACGCAAACGTTTGAAATTAACCAAAATGAAGAAAAAATGTTTCACCTAGAGAACCATTGCTTCATAGAAGCTTTGGTGACAGTTGAACAACTAAGAAGTGGTAGTCTTCTTGACATTGGTGGGTACAATATAAGTAAGGTGTCTCAGTAAAATTGAAACCGTTTATGTTATTTGCTTAACATAACTCATGGGTTATGTAAGTTTGTTTCCATCACTTAGTGTCTGTAGTACGTTGTAAACAGAAAAAAAGAACCAGGAAGATTTACAAAATTGATTTACAATCAAGTAAATTTGACTAAACCGTCAACAAACTCTTTATGGTGTCTATTGCCTTCAAATAACGATTTTTGATAAAATTTTGCCTATTATCATAAAGATACATAACAGACAGACAGAAATTAGACAGAAGATACCAAGGAGACAACTAGTACTGTGAACAGAGAAAATGTTTCGAAATTCAAGATCTACATATATACCCATAAAACTGCAAACCATCATGGACTCCGTGTTGAACTTGTTGTCTTTATATGACAATTTTAGATATTTTTATACCATTTAGATTTCGACAGAAACGAATTTTAAACAGCAAAAATGAAAAACAAACCATGATCTCAAAATAACAATATCACAGAAACCATCAATCAACTCTTGTCAACATATATGATTCTTTTTAAAAAATAGTAAAATTCACTAAGTAGTACCATCAAATCTTTTTATTATTTTGTTTTTGTCTAGAACAAATACTGGTATAACTTGCGATCAGTTAAAGACGTACAATCATAATAACCCGATCAGAACAGATCGTGTTGAGTTATGTTGTTTTGTGTTAATAATATAACTTTAAATCACCCAAAATGTAAGAATAAATTGAATTCTACGTTATGTTTAGATCGTCATCGGCTGAAAACAGCTGTTGACATTGATAGCTTATAATAAAACGAGTTCTACCTAAGACTTAGGTGTCTTTGCTAGAATATCATAATAGCATTATACGCACTAACATTGAATAAACGACATAAAACGACTGCTTATTAGTATTTGGTGTATACTTTGGCACATCAATTAAAAGTATATGATTGTACATCACAATTACTTCTATAACCACATGAGAAAAATTAGAGAAACTATCTTGAATGAAAATAAAAAAAATATATAAGACCACTACAGATTTTCAAAAGTGGGGCTTAACGTGTGGCTTAAAGTGATCAGTTCAAACATTATGAACAATTCTACTTATGACTTGTACCTGTTATTGTTCACATGGTTGCCCAAATCGTCTTCATTATCCTTGTTCATATCTCATTTCTCAATTTTAGGGCCAAACATTGCTTCTGACGGGTACTTTTCTGTGAACCCATGTTGAATTATGTTTGATTCCGTTTTTTATATTGATTTACAGCTATTAAAATTGCATTATACCCTCATTTTTAGATTTCTTTATAAATATTTAAATAACAAATAACTGCCTTATCCAAAACTATAGTTTGCTTCAGGTTTTCTGATGTCATATAAATGTAAATATTTGTGTGTTTGACTGGTTATTCACATCCGAATAAAAAGAATAAAATCATCTGTGCAGAATAAATAGTGACTTTAATGTGTCTTCAATTTTTTATGATTTTTTTATGACTTATTTCATTGTTTTGTTAATGCATACCCTACATCTCCTTTTGATCAAAATTGTTACTTTTTTTTTACTTATCGTTAACTGAAATATAAACCATTAGGTAATATCTCCGTCGACTATTAAAACTAAAAAAAAACAAAGAATCCGTAGATTTCTCAAACTAAAAAAGAAATTAACAAATACATGCAAGTTGTCTGGTTGTACAATGTAGGAATATTAGAGAAACCTACATAATGTAATGTAGTTGAAGGTGGAATACAAGATTGTTTGATTTCACGTAAAGGGTCACAGTTTCACTGACAATAAATACACTTGGTTTTTAATGTAAGGAATGTCAATATAAGCGTTTGAAAACGTCTTTGTGTCTTAAATGTATGTCTAAATAATAATATTTCAAATTTGAAATAAAAATATATGATACTAATATCCATGTTAAAAAAAAAATACAGCAATTACATTTCAATAGTTTCGAGGGAATTGTGACGTTTGCATAGAATGCGGAATTCTCATTTTAGTATATAATTCAAAGATTGTATTTCGTATTCACAGTGCCATTTAACCCTGCGCTTTTGTTTTGAACAATGAATAATCCATGTCGCTTCAAATAAACTGAATGTCAGTTTTTGGAAATTACTCACTTGGCCAGATTTTAGTAAATTTAGTGTTAAGAAGCTGTGTTGCATTAATCATGCATAATCTTTATACATTTTTTTATTACCAATTTACGATAAAATGACGTATAAGAACGTATGAAAGTAAATTATCCCGAAGCCGGTCTGGTTTGCGTTTACAGAACAGAAAATAAAGCCCCAAAAATTGAAAAAGAGAATAAGGGAGTGCTAATATAAAATATGTTAGAGAGAGAGGCGAACGATATTAAAGGGACATTCAAACTCATAATAGATATAAGAAGGTGTGGTATGGGTGCCAATGAGACAACTCTCCATCCAAGTCACAATTTTTAAAAGTAAACCATTATAGGTCAAAGTACGGCCTTCAAAACGGAGCCTTGACTCACATGAACAACAAGCTATAAAGGGTCCCAAAATGAATAGTGTAAAACCATTCAAATAGGAAAACCAACGGTCTAATCTATCTAAAAAACAAAACACGAGAAACACTTATGAACCGCATCAACAAACGGCAACCACTGAACATCAGGTTCCTGACTTAGGACAGGTGCAAACAAATGCAGCGGGTTTAAATGTTTTAATAGGCGCCAAACTTCACCCTACCTGAAACAATAGTGTAACATCACAACACAGAAAGACACACTATAAAATATCAATTGAAATGGCTTAACTCGATCAAAAGACATATTAACCAAAACAAGTGAACATACACTGAACGAATAAATTTGATCTAAGACACAATGTCAATACAAATTAATAAAACAAGGGGGTTAGATGTAAAACAATATCAGAAACAACCATAACCTGGACAAAATGCCGCCAAATAAAATAACGTACACAGGTAAATAAAAATAATTTTGTTGTAAGGTATACATGGAGTACGGAAATAATTTTTTAAAAAATGTATAATTTTGTTGTTCCTAGTACGAGAACAAAAGTCAAAATTTATCGTCATACTAAACACTTATAAAAGGTTTTTATATTAAAAATAGTGAGACTAGATATAACACTGAATAAGTATACATCAAATAACAAAGTCGATAGTCGATATTAAACTGACAACGCCATGGCTAAAAAAGAAAAAGACCAACAGGCAAAAAGGCATACAACATTATACAAAAACACAACATAGAAAACTAAACACTGAGCAACAAAAACCCCACCCAAAACTGAAGGTGATATCAGGTAAACCGGAAAAGTAAGCAGATCCTGCTCTACATGTGGCACCGTCGTGTTGCTGATGTTAGTACAAACCTGGTAATAAGTCTAAATCAATAGGTCACATTCGGGGGAAAAGGGATGGGAATGTAGTTACGACCATTGAAACACATCTGCTATCATCTGTGATATTGATATTCCATAACGGTCAGCCAACTCGTGATGGGGTCTGTAAAATTTACGAAGGGATGATTTAAACTTAACCATTTGGAACTCTAGGTTTAAAAGCTTTCTTGTGAGCAGCAACCCTCTATCAAGGAAATCATGATAGGAAATACAAGCCCTGGAATATCGTATCAACTGGGAGATATATCTCCGTATGCAGGCGCTGCTGGAATGTTGCTACATTGAAATGGAATGTTGAAATTGTTAAGCTGAAATCATCTCTTTTGTCGTAAAATTTTGTTTTCAAGCGACCCTCATTGTCAATTGCCAGGTGTAAGTCAAGATATTAAACAGACTTAACTGTATCTGTTGTATCCTGTATCTGAAGTTTGATTGGATAGAAGCGTTCAACATAGTCACCAAATTTTGAATTATTTAGTAAGAAAACATCATCTTTATAGCGGAAAGTAAAGTAAAGTTAAAAGATACCGCTAACTTCTTTTCTTTCTTTCTTTCTAAAAAGTATGGTCTTAGAAATGAATGCCCCCCTGCCGAAAAATAACCCAGACCTTCAGTTTATGGCTTTTCAGTTGAAATTTTCACTTTCTCAGTATCTTTATTTGTATTCGCCTTTAAATCAATTTTATACATACAGCATATTTGCTTGTCTTGTAAAAAGTGAGAATCGACAAAATTTGTTTTGCAAGTTTTAAGATTTCATATTTCATATGAACATTGTACTTTTGTGTTTCGGCAAGCTCACTTTTGCATAGATATTCTTAAGATCTATATGGAGTCATATTCTCTATAAATGTCACTTACAATTGATATTTTTTCCTGTAGACTCATTTGGACGAAAATTGGTTTCGATGGTCAATAGAAAAGAATTTGAAAAACAGTGGCAATCACAAATGCAGAAGTTCGACCTGAAACATAAACAGGAACAACAGGGATCTGGAAGACCAACACCTAAAGAGAAAGAGACAAAAACTCGAACAAAATCTGGTCACAGAATGTCTTCCAGTCAAGAAGACAGTAGCAATAAAATGGATCAAGTGTTAGATAAGGTTGATCTCCTAACAAAACGCATGACAGATATAGAAAAGTTGATATGTAACCCATTAGCTAGACTTGATATTTCTCGGACAGGAAACATGGACAGTTTAGGAATAGATTTCGCTAGAGCACAAAAAATGGATGAAGATTAGCATTAATAAAGATATACACTGTAACAGTAGCATTGCTTTATGAAAATTGCATATGAGTGATATTAAAATGAATTATTAATAAAAATGTAACTCATTCAAGAAAAATTCTTTACCAACATCGGCCTTGCTTTTATATGTTGAATATCAATTTTAAAAGCTTTTCTAATGCAAAAAAAAAAACTAAAATGTACTGAAAATGATTCCTTTAATCAGTTATTCAGGACTGGTATGCATTTTAACACAAAGTTTTAAACAAGATACAATGATTATATTTTAATTTTCTTATGTGGATCAAAGGCCACATTCGTTCTCATTGCACTTGCTAGTGGTATTGGCTTCTTTACGGTTCTATTTGTTGCATGTTGTTGATAATTAAATGCTTTAGTAATTTGTAATCGTTGTAAGGTTGTAAGGCCTTATTGCTGGAAATTCATTGCCATATATCACTTGATTTTAATGAAGAAGAAAAAATGTCTTATCAAGGGACAGTTACTTACTCTGATTAAAATTCATATTTGTCTATATAAGTATTAAAACTTGAATGAATTAGGAATAGGAAATGTTGAAAATCAGAATATTTTAGAAAATGGTTAAAAAGATAAATCGACGATAGACTGAAAACGCCATTGCAAAAAAAAAAAAAAAAAGAAAAACGCCATTGTAAAAATTAGAAAGAAACAACTAAAAAACGGCGATAGGAAAAATAGTAGTTTACAAAGCATAACATAGAAAAGAAAAACTAAAGACTGAGCAACTCAAACCCTTGTGAAATAATGCATTTGTATATTATATTCTGAGGCTGTTGTACATCTAACGTTACATAATTTATTGCAACCGAACAGCATTTTCTTTCGTCTCCAGTCCGTTTGCTTAAGTTACAACTTAATCTCCTTTTCACAAATGACGTGGCTAATGTTGAATTTGACTGAGAAAGGTCAACTTGGAAGCGGGAAATGTCAAATTGAAAGTGAGAACTGTCATGATTCAAGTCAGAAATCTCAAAATTGAAATGAGAAATATTATAAATAAAATGTACTTACCAGTTGTTCAAAATCTTAAATATAATTGTAACTAAATTTAGCTAATATTAAAATAGAAGATGTTGTAAGATTGTCAATGTGACACTCTCTACCAAACCACGTGACGAAGAAGGTTAGCATTCATAAGTCACCGTACAGCAATTACATACTTTGTTCTCTATCAGAAGACAAACTATAACATCATGCCTAGGTTATTGTAAAACGCAGTTTGTGTTACCTATATTTATCCGTCCTTCTGTCCGTCCCATATGGGGAACATTGTTTGTCTGTCTATCTCAAGTGTTTGCTAGAACTTTCATATTAGACATTTGCGGACAATGTCATACACCTATGATTCGGATTACAATTACACTTACAGGTAGGATTTAATTCTTGGGTCGTCTCAAAGTGTAAAATATAAAACGTCGTTCCTAAACAAAGTCTAACTCCCATGAAATTTTTCTATAGTTGAACGACTGGGTTTTAAAAAAAATGTATGTAGTAACGTGTATATATTAATTAGTATACATGGTGTTGTCAAATCTACGGAGTATGATAGAATGGTAAAACATCAGTTACGGAATAAAATTTACACGAGACGTGAAAAAAAATTGTCGCTGGCCATGTTGGAACAGTTAGAAATTTATATTTACAAGACTATGTTACATATTTGTTTTTCGTTCATTATTTTCTACATAAATGAAGCTGTTAGTTTTTCTCGTTTGAATTGTTTTACCCTTGTCATTTCGGGGCAATTTATAGCTGACTATGCGGTGTGGGCTTTGCTCATTATTGAAGGCCGTACGGTGACCTATAGTTGTTGATTTCTGTGTCATTTGGTCTCTTGTGAAGAGTTGTCTCATTGGCACTCATACCACATCTTCTTTTTTATATTTAGTGTTAATAAAGAGCGATCAACTAAGAAGCACGTTTGCAATATTTAATGTTTAAGACCAATACCGGGTCTGGACCTGCGTCGGTGCATGCAATTGATGGAGGTTATATTATACTTATTCAGTAGCAAAAATGATCATTCCCTTCCGTCAAGCCAAGAAAACCTTGACGAAAATTTTCTTTGTGGATTGAGTCTTGCAAAATGTCAAACTATCACCAAACAGGAAGTGGCTGCACTGCCAATGTAGAAATTACTTTCACGCTGCAACTCATAATTATAAATTATAACGAAATAAAAAATGACTCCCTTCAATAAAAGCCAGGAAAACTTTGAGGAAAGTTTTCTACCCAAGGTATTTTTCAGAGATTAAAGGACAGACGGACGGACAGAGTGGAGCGGTTATTAAACCTGCTTTCGCCTTTAGCGACGCAGAAAAAATACTGAGTTGTTTTTGTGCAATTTTCATAGAGATCTTGTGAGTATGGACGTTTTTTGTTCACGGTGTAGATAATTCTCTCCCATGAACATGGGTGGATCTGGTGTGCTCGAAATATGATCCGTGACCGGTACATTGTTTTTGAAATTGTACTATAGAGTGCACCTATCAGACGGTGTTCATTACAGTTCAACACAAAGTTTATTCTCAAAAGTATTCCTTTGATTAAAATGGATAAAAGGTGCAAAGGTTTATCAGGCGATAAGTAGTTAAAAAAAACACACACGATTTTAGTCGGTTATAGAGCAGTCGCGGATACAAAAGTGTAATACAAAGGACATTGATCCATATGTATCTCAAAAGCACTGCGCTGCGGTGGGTTTTAAAATAGTTGTGTTGTGTAACTCGTTTAATGCATTTTCCCGTGATTTCTAAGTACACCATTTGTAGAGTACCCTGTAAACGACATGATTGCAGATTTTTCTATACTAAAATAAGGAAGACACAATTTTGGAAACATAACATAAAGAGCAGTAACCTGTTTCTCGAGGGAGAGCGTATGGTTCTCTGCTGTTTTTGGTGGGCGACAACATATATCCGAACAGATATCCAGCATTGACACCTTATACAAGACAACAGATTGTTCGAAATCCCCAGAAACTGTAGAGTAAGTGTAGAAAATTAAATAGACGTGTAACACACTATAAAGTAAAGGTTGAAATCGCCATCGGAAAATTAAAAAAAAACGAAGTTATGAGGATATTTGGTGATATCCAATACAGCGATTCAAATCTGTTGTGACCATATGCGCTGCATTAGTATTTCGTCGAAAAGACCTACTTACAATACTAAAAACATCATTTGATTTTATTATGTATATCTATGCACATGCGCGGTAAATCCTGCTATAGGTTTCAAGTTCGAACTGCTTAATTTTGCAGCGTGTTTGTAAAAATAAGCAGAGCACATAATCAAGATGTAATTTTTTTTATAGTTTCTACATAAGTTCAACTTCCCGACGTACCAAAAAAGTTAAGTATAAAAAGAACGAGATGTGGTATAATTGCTAATGAGACAACTATCCACCAGAGTTCAAACGAAAACTCTATAAGCAATTATACATGTTATAGACATCCATATGCATACAGCCTTCAATAATTTAAAAAACCCGTAACGTATAGTCGGCTATACAAGGCCCTGACATTTCATTTATTTTCTCCTTACATAATGAAGTAAAAATGCAGTCATGATTACTTATAATTTTCAGTTAATGAACCATGATTTTTTCGGTGTTACATTCACTAGGAACAGTTGTTAACTGCATATGGTACTTACCATGTATATATTTATAATATTAACATTTATATATTATTTGCCTCCTGTTAATTTGCAAATGTTGGATCATAATACCTGTTACATGTACGTCAACAGAGGCAGTTATAATATGAGCTTTCTATCTGAGATGATTTTGACCAATTCTGATCAATACTGTCAAGTACTTTTAGACTCTGTTTGCCAAATTATGTTAGAGATGGTCAAGCACAGTTCTTATCTGTCAATATTCTTACACGTGTATTTTATCAGCTTTTAAAATCCTACACATGCCGTTACTTTGTCAATAAGTAAAATATTTAGGTAATTTTGGTATTAAATGAAAGCTTAATGATTTTGGGATCACTGTAGAACCCTCGTTGAAAAAAAAAAGAAATTATAATATGAGTGTACATTTGCCCTTTTGTTCAGGTCAGAAGTACCTGTTTTGTACTACCAAACTTCAACCAGTGCAATCTGATATTGAATTAAAAGTATGTCGATTTGTTTCAGCACAAGCCAGGATAAAGTGAAGTTTTGACATGAAATAACTGCCACTTTTATTTAGCTTAAGGCAAAGTAGCCATTCGTGCTTGGAATTACAGAATTTAACATAGAAATTGATCGGGCTATAAATAAGTGGTTTTATTCCTTCAACAATCAAAAGTTCATTTGTAGATCGGAAAATATAATGTTAACGCAATTATATAATTTATGTTTTGAGACGGTCCCTGTACACGTTACAATGTATGTGTGTTGTATTTGATACCATGTACTACTGTGCATTGTGACAATAAACCTGAGAAAAATGTACTGACAGTAAATATGTCCCAATAAACAGATTAATTCTGAACGATAATCACGCGATATTTTTCATTTCCATCATAGCCTGAGCAAATGTCGGAAAGCAAGAAAATCATTAACATTACGATATTTCTGTTAAAAATATGTATCCTCGGTCGGAATTACTGTGATCGGAAAACAGAAACTTAAGATAATTCTGAAACAAAATTTCTGTCAAAATTATTCAGTTTCATAAATAGATACATTTGTACTAACACCAAGGGAATTGTCATTAAAATTATTATTTTTCAACTGAACCTAAATTTATCATAAATAGAATATAATTTATACTGTTATACTATGTCCCACAGATTTTCGTAACAGTGAATACATGAACATTTGTACATGTATGAAAATTATATGCAACATATGAGCACCAAATATCAGGGATGCACTCAAATAAATTATTAACTCAAATTAAGACTGTGGTGAATAAAAAAATAGGTGCATGGTTTCAATTCATAAAGATTTTTTTTAAATCCTTCCATCTCCCGAAAATGTTTAAGCTTTGTTTTAAAAGCGATTATATATTTTGTATTGCAAGATATTCATAAAATGGATAGTTAGATTTGAAGAAAGGATAGATTTTTTGTTTTTAAAAGTTGAACCTTATATTAGCAACTAAATATTTGCAATATTGTGCGATTTTGAAAATGTGTATGCATTGTGCATGTTGTGTTGACCAGCTATTCTACACGCGCTTTGGGTCATTCACATTATCACAAAACTAAAAAAAAATCGTTTTTGAAATTTGATTTGACAACAGTGTCGGTTTGCGTTCACTCAAATTCCAGAGTAAATGGCAATGAATTCCTAGTCAAACAACTTGGGAAAAATAGTTTGATATTCGAATTTAATTAACGTTAAATTGAGCCTAGAATAAATATACGTGATGACGCAAATGCATATTCTAATCCAAATTATCCGTGCGTTTGCTTTTTCAATTTCTTGCGCAAGAAAACATCCTGCATGCATAAATTAATATTAATTTCACTCGCAGAATGAGAATTTTTACATTTCTTATCTAAAATCAAGATTCGGTAGTAAGAACTTGACATGTGATTTTGAAACATTGTCATCATTAAGGTATTCTGATCTTTAGATGTGTTTCTTTTCTTTTTTCTTTTTTTTTCAGGTGACTGTCTTATTATAATCTTTAAAATATTCAAAATACTAAGGATTTTCTACCCTAGAAATAGATCACCGAAGCTGTACTTTTGGGTCTTCAATGTTCTTCAACTTCATACTTTATTTGTCCTTTTTAAATTTTTTAAATCGAGCATCACTGATGAGTCTTTTGTAGACGAAACGAGCGTCTGGAGTAGAAAATTTTAATCCTGGTATCTAAGATGAGTTTGTTGTTTTTTACCAAACATACCTTTTTATAAAAATTGGTTCTTTTGTTCAGGTGCATGTATTCATAAAACTTCTGAAAACAAGATATTCTTCAAAACTAAAATTTTCGTGAAGAATATTTGGATTGACTAAAGAAACTTCAGGAAATCCTTAAGATTTGAGGTGTTTTATTAGACCAAACTAATTGTCAGTATTTATGAGGTCCTAATGAAGCTGATGTATTAATCTCAAGAACGAAATGAGGTCTTAATGAAGCTGGTGTATTAATCTCAAGAACGAAATGAGGTCTTAATGAAGCTGGTGTATTATTCTCAAGAACGAAATGAGGTCTTAATGAAGCTGGTGTATTAATCTCAAGAACGAAATGAGGTCTTAATGAAGCTGGTGTATTAATCTCAAGAACGAAATGAGGTCTTAATGAAGCTGGTGTATTACTCTCAAGAACGAAATGAGGTCTTAATGAAGCTGGTGTATTACTCTCAAGAACGAAATGAGGTCTTAATGAAGCTGGTGTATTACTCTCAAGAACGAAATGAGGTCTTAATGAAACTGGTGTATTAATCTCAAGAACGAAATACGAAACCTTATAATACGTTGCATGCCACAGACTTACACTTTACATGGACATTGGACTTTCAATTTCTCTTTACCACCTACAAATGTATACCATGAGTGTAGATAGCTTCACTTATGAGTATAAGAACAATTAAAGTCATTCGGGAATTAAAAAATGAGTATATGAAAGGTAATATACTTTGTACATGCATCCTGGTTATAAAGCAAAATGAGAGCTGAAATTTATATTGCGACTGGTCTATGAAATGTATCCAAAAATACGGTGTGCAGAAACTATGAATTCCAATAGGATTAGGACCTTGTATATCAAACACGAAGAAAAATAATCTACACTTCCAAGGAATAAATAAAATAGTCAAAAGGTGATATCAAATAATAGATGTATACACTTTTTTTATTTACAACTAATATCCAATATTGCTTTTATTTGACTTGTGCAAAAATGTACTCACAAATATATATTCACAATCAAGGTGTTTTAACATCATCACCTTATTCTATTCACGGTCAATTATTTTAAATCAAAAGCCAAAAAAACAACAAAAATTGTTCGGTGACCTGTCTGCATTCTCGGGTGCGCGTATTGCTTTTCTTTTTGTAAAAAAAAACTGATTTGTCCTGTATGATTTCATTAGGCCTTTAACGTTTATGTTAGGTTATATATTTTCAAATGATATAGGCTCGAGCATCACTAAAGAGACATGCATTTTCTGGTACAGTTCATGTTATTACTACCTCTGGATCAACTACGTGCAAATTCAGACATTGTTTGATTATAATTTGCTGTTGTAAAATTTCAAAATTAGTATAAATCAAGGTATGCATCATCGTCATGCAAACCTCTGAATCTTTGTCCGGGTTTTGCATAACTTTCTGTCATTTCGATTTGTCAACTCTACAACGTTTGTATGGTTTCGGATTTTCAGATATTTAGCATAGATTATCACTGAAGGGATATTTATTGTCGAATTTGCATCTAGTGCTGTACAGCTGACTAGTTCTGTTAATGTTACTATATATAGAAAATACAGAGATTAAATCAATGATGACTGTTTCTAAATTTATCTTTAAATGTACTTATATTTGATTAGTTTGTGTAATCTTTTTATATCATATATCACATTTGCAATATAACACTGTACCAGGTAAGTTTGTCTAGTTTAAGTCTTTGATATTTGAAGAGATTTTAAGTAATGATTATCGCAAAATTGTAGTTTAGTGGTTCTGCAAACTCGTCAGATACCTTAAACCATGATCAGTTTTTCTTATGTTCATTTTATTAACTTACATAACAATTAGTTTAAATGTGACAATATACACAAAGAAAAAATGTACAATACTCAATTCTTCCGTGTTAGTGACTTTAAATTGATGTGCTTTGTAATTTGTTTTATGTTTAATTGTTGAAATTTACATTTGATATGTTAATTACGTGACCGTACTATTCTAAGGTAGTAATTAATTTACGAAAATTGATTGCAAATCATATGATTTTTGACATATCTGAACTTAAAATACATTCTGAATTGTCATGCAGTGCGGAAGTTAGAATAAATCACTGTTCAACCATAAAAGATTTCGCTTACATCCATTATTTTTAGATAAAGGTAAGTAGGGTATAGAAATATGACAATCCCTGACCGTGAATTCAGTAGACCTCAAATCATGATCTACATACTGTATTAATTAACAGCACATACAGAATGGACAAGAACGTTTCATTGGTCTCTCATGAAGGAAAACTAAGAAAAGCTCTTTGAGGGGTTCTTAGGTGGCTTGCCTTATCCATTATACATACATATACATTAACAGGATACTTTGGAGTCTTTTGCACAGAAGAGACCGACTAATCGTAAGGTTAAAATCATATCTTGTCATATATGTTATCTACTAGAAAAACAAATAGTGATTCATGATACTTCCGTTAAAGTAGAACGTGTATAACAGTATAATACAAATATCGTATTGTTTTCTGATAATGATAGAACAATGGTAAAGCTAGGTCCACACTGCCGATCTGATCAACTCGATCAAACCCGATCAAGACAGATTAAGTGATCGGGAGACTGGTCTGACTCAATCGACAAGAATGTTCGGGGTTGTCTACCTTGGTCATCATCGATCTTTCTTTCTACCCGAGAGTTTTTGACATGTCAATAAAATTCGAGTAAGGATCGAGAGCCAGCCACTCGGGAAGAGATCGATAATTCGTCGAGTAGTGGTCGAATTGATCGGGAAAGGATCATGTAGAGATCGAGTTTGGTCGGAATTAGAATATTTTACCGATCAGTACTCGATCATCTCGACCTTTGCTCGACTTATATCCGATAATTTCCCGATCAACGCCAACCTGTTTGATCTGTGATCCAGATTAACTCGACCAATGCCCGATCGCTTCCAGATCACTGCAACTTCTTTATTTTTTCTATCCCAGACCCACTCGACCAATACCTGATCTCCACGCGACCACACTCGACCACTCTTCGATCTCTACTCGGCCATACACGAGTACACATGACTACTACAGGATTCTCTAAAAGTGTATGCAGATCTGATTAACTCTCATAACTTAGCTTCCGCAAAAATATATTGTCACTATTTCTTTTTAACGGTACAAAAATTCATTCATGTCCAGTATTGTCTGTAGTTTTGCAAGTAGGGGTAAAATTTTGAAAGAGAGGCAAAAAATACTAAAGGAACAATCAAACTCAAAGGTCGAAAACAAACCGACACAGCCATGGCGAAAAACGAAAACCGACGAGAAGACAAACAGCAGTCCACATAACACAACATAGAAAACTAAAAACTTAGCAACACGAAACCCAACAAAACCTGGGATGAACTCAGGTGCTCCGGAAGGGAAGTAGATGTTGCATTTTGGCCCCGGTGGATTTTCAAATATGAAAGTAATTGTGCAATAAAAATCAATTATTAGACAGCTGATGACTAATTTGGCCTTCAAAGTGGGTTTATAAGAAGATCAAGATTATTTTTGACCTGTTTTATGGGATATTTCTGTTTGACTGTCCGTATTTTCCGTATGTCCAGAAATTTTTGTATAATAAAAATAAGAAGATGAAGTATAATTGCCAATGAGACAACTCTCCACAGGACACCAAACGACACAGAAATTAACAACTATAGGTCACCGTTCGGTTAAATGTTTACAAACACTTTTTTTCACACGAACTTTTCGACGCAATTTTACACAAGGATGAGACGAAAGACAAATGATTGTTATTTGATCTCTTGATAGATAATTGTTAACAGTTTCAGAAAAGGTATCACTCCAGGGGATTGAAATTCTACTTTTGGCCAAATTTTGGGGAATATGTGACATTTCTACCCCCTTTTTGCAATATTTGTTTAGCAAATACATGCAGGTTGTTGCCATGGATACACCAACAAGAAATATCTTTAATCATTCAACTACTGAATATCAGTCTTCTTGTTCGTCTTCTACGCTCTCTTCCGGCTCCATCAAAGCTATTATTCTGTCTCTCTGAGCTCTAAACACCTTGCCCACAAATCCAACTGCTTTATTTCCATGTAGATATTTTAAATGTATGAGTTTACTTAGACCTTCTATGAACTACTGAATCTAACTAAATAAACGGAGAATATGTCAATGGGACACAGATAATGCTCCAGTTTGCATATAACGTTATAAAGGGTCATTACCCAAGAACGGTAAAAGTGACGCTAACCAAATTCGCACTTGATCTGTCTTTTATTTATCATAAATTTGGTTGTGGCAAAATAAGATTAGAGACTTACAGACGGACAAGGGTAACACTATATACCCCTTTCGCTGCGATGGGGCATAAAAAAATCAGACATTTTTATACTGAAATTGTACATACCCGATCAATTCCCGACTATCCCTACGACCCCTATACGATCAGGTCGATCTGGTCTGATCGAGATTAGGCTGAGATCGAGTAAAGTTGATTAGGACTAGCTAGTCGAGTAAAGATTGTGTAGAGATCGTGAATTGGTCGGAATTATCGAATATGTATTTAATTAGTGGTCAGTTTGGAGTCGTGATTTAGTCATTAAGAAGTCGTGAATGGTCGAGTTAAAGTCGTAAACAGTCTGATAGCGTTCGGATAGAAGTCGTAAACAGGCCCGATCAAGAATTTGGTTAACCTTGGTCGTGGAAATTTGGACAATCGGGATCATCGAGTTGATCTAATCGGCAGTGTGAACCTAGCTTAAACAGGACATTGGACTGGTTATACCAAATTTGAGGTAAAAGTCATTATAAAAAAAAACAAATTTCGCTCAATAATAATTTCTATATTGTTGTAGGCATAATGTAACAGCAAGATAAACATCGATAGACAATGGCACCAATCACAATAGAGGAAGAACATTTTCTACGAATCGTTCAGTTAATATTTGGAGTAGTAGTTGAGGCGGTGAGAACTATCTTTGACAAGTTTTTCCCCCATTAACGTTACGTCACACTTTTCAAGCGAAGAGGAAAGATATGCAAGATCTACAAAAGAAACAAATATTGAGAAAATCTCAGATGGATGTTTTATTTCCCTAAACAGGTTAGAATTCAGTATTTTGTAATCCATAAATATCATTGGTAACGTGAGTTAACAGCTATTTAATAGCAATATATGCATTTTCCCGATTTCAGCTATTTTGATAACAGGGGTGTCAACCAGACCTGGGGTAATTACAAATGTAATTGCAATTAGCTTTAATTAGTTATAATTTTGAAAGTAATTCAATGTAATGCGTAATTGAGCATATTTTCAATTACATGTAATTGAAAGTAATGAATTACACTGCCTTTTTGCCATGTAATTGTGAATTTCCTTTCAATTACTTTGAATTACATTTAAATTACTGCATGGAAATTTAAAACATTTTTGGCTTTTCTAATGCATTTTGTATTTTTTCCCTTTATTTAGCAAACACTTGGTATTATCATTTTTCTTATTACTTTTTTAATATTTATCACGATGAACAAAATCTACCATTCCTCAAGATATTTTATTAATCATTATAGCATGTATAATAATCTTTATTTGTATTTAATTCATTAATTTTTCACATGTTTACATAAAAAATCTAAAAAGTAAAAACAATACCATTTTATTTATATACAGTTTGTAAATATTGTTCTAACAGTTAACAATAATCTTAGCCTCAGGTTAATCTTTTCATTAAACTAATCATTAAGTACAAATTTATCCCTTGATTAAAAGCCAAAGGCAATGCTTTTTTGAACCATCATATGTCTAGGTTAGTCTATGAAAAGGTATATACTATGAAATTTAGAGCAAAAGTATATATATCTTTTTATAGACTATCCAATTTAGCACATATTTACAACTCGAGTAATCTTTTAATTGGTCTATTGATAGTTTATTTTGGCTGACTACTTGTATCACAGGTGTTTGTAAAACGGAGCTTAACGAATTTTATGTTTTGTAAATTTACTCACTAGTATCATTGTAATATATGTGATTTCAAAAGGCCCTTGACTCCAGAATGAAAAGATTGTAGCTGGTGGTGTAAGTATGTATATTGATATAAAGCGGTGTTTTACTATACATGTACTTCTTTACATGGTAAGATGACAAAAATAAATGACCAACAGCAGGCAATAATTAAACTGCAGTTGAAGCTTTACAAACTATAATAATTTTGAAACATATAGTTTGTCCCCAAAGATAGTCTAGTGGATAGCATTAAAAAGCAACTACCAATAGATGAGAATTTATAGGTTTTGTGTTTTTTGGATTTTTTTTTTCAAAATAAAAACTAAAAGATTTATCATAATATGTATATATTTAGGTGGCACATTCTCCATGTTCTCTTCAGACATTATCACGGTTTTTCAATTCATGACATGCATGAATAATTGCCACTGGACATTAAGCAACCAATAATCAATCAATCAATTCATGACGAAAAAGATCAATTTCCCTAAGAAAGTTAAAAAAAAATCATCACCAAATTGCCTTTATTTCCCTTCATAATGTTTCATAGTACACACTTTTTTGTGTACAAAGTAATTGTATGGATAATAAATTATTACAATTTTAAGATAGGGTTGTACTCTAATCAAGGTATAAAGAACCATATGTGTTACTTTTTATTTAAATGGAAGAAACTTGCAATTGTTAAAAATATTTTTTAGACCCAAAGATTTTAATAGCAGGATATATTTAAAAATCAATGTGAAAACTAATTAGTTAATTTACAAACTATATAATTTTAATTTGGAACACAGCATTTTATTTCAAAATAGCCAGTGGCAATTTTTGTTTTAATATCTTGATTACGATACAATGCAATCTTACCCTTGTGGTCATTCATGCGTAGTTACTTAGTACACGGAAAAAGTATGTACTATGAAAATTAGAAGGCAAATCCAAGCATATATATATATATATACTTTTTTGGTCTTTTGGAAAATGTTGTTTGTGCTGTATTTAGACCCTCTACCAAGAAATTTGTTTTGCATGCACACGTATAAAAATTGCGGCTTTTATCCAACGCAATCATAGGGTTGAACGTTGTTTCAATTTAGACTTCTTTATATATATATATATATATATAAATCTTTATAAATAGTTTTCCTATGAAAATAAGAAATGCAATCAAACAATAAAAAAAAAGTTTTCAAATTCCTAACAAACTTGAGAACTTTTTTTTTAAACAAATCTTGTTCAAATGTTTTCATTGTTAAAAAGTGAACGTACCGGTATATATGTATATACAAGTTTCTTTTTATTCTAGCTTGTTGTCATTTTCATGATTTTATTCTAAATGATATAGTTCTTAAATGCGTCGTTGGATAAAAGTAATTTAAATGTTATTAATTACATTGGCAATGTAATTGTAATGTAATTAATTACATTTGAAAATCAATGTAATTGTGTTGTAATTAATTACATTTAAATGTAATTAATTACTTTGGCCTGTAGTTTACCCCAGGTCTGGTGTCAACTAATCGAATTCTCGTTTGGTTTACGCGTTATATTCAACTACTCTCGCAGAAAATATCTACCAAAGGAAAAAAAAGTTATACACGAGTTGTTTTCTAATGGACGTTTAGCATGTTTAGGTTCATCAGAGGGAATAAAAAAAGACGTATTTACAGTACACAATTTACTCTCTGTGCATACATACCTGTGCACCTTGAAAACTTTTATTGCATGCCATGAAGATACACAACTTTTAAAAACAGCTTATTATTCAGACAAAATAAATACTTACCTTGATTTTTGCAAGCCATTTTTGTTTGTTTGTTTCAACGAAGGTGTCAAAATACCATGAATGAAAAATTGTTTTTTAGTTTTTTTTTTTAAAGAAGATTAATTTCACATTCAAAATATCTAGTTTCTACAAAGCCCTTTTACTATTCCAACAGCACGTGTTTGCCTATACACGTACTAATAATAAAGTTTGTATTGTAAACACTGCCTCATATGCAGTTTTATCTGATGCACCTTAACTTTTTACAATACTGTCTTCAAAAATATACCATCATTGATAGCTAATTTATGACATATCTTTATTAAGTTAACAATGATCTAATAAAGGACTTAACAAACACCCATTGAGTATAAATGACCATAAAGTCAATCCAGATGACATAACCCATTATCTTATTTATCGTCAACTCATCTACAATGCATTTTATCATTTTCCGAAACTCATGAAAGAGTGCGAACAATTTGTTCTTGTTTATAAGTGACTTTTGACCAATACATTTCACAAGCTAAACATAAATTTGCAGGGTCTAACGTTTTACTAAGACACCTGGGCCTAAACTATTCTGATCACTTGTGGTCCGTCATCATCGTCGTCCGTTCCGTTTTATACAATCTTCTCCTCTGAAACTACTGAGTTAAATGTAGCAAAAATCCATAATCATCATTTATCATTTAATTAAGCTGTTTTTATTTTGTAAATGTGTACTTTACAAACCCACATAGCTGACATCGCAATAATTTAATATTTGGGTAAAATGCTGGTTTTGTTTATAGTCTTGAAAAAGGACTTTAGAAAGACAAAACCTGACGTGGCAGAAATGTTCAGAATGTTGAGATCTACATATTGTCCATTGACGTCAAAACTCTCAGACGATTGCTTGGAGTAATTGCCGTTTAGGACGAATTTTATATTTTTGTTTTGTTTTTGACTTTTTTTGTACTTGATTATAAGAATAGATAAAGAAAAACTTAAAACGAAAACATGATCTACAGGACAAGATTCACAAATGAGTCTCTATTTCCGAAATCGTCAAATGACTCCTTTTTTGAGACATTAACTTTAAATGACATTTTTTGTTCCATTTAATTATTCCTTTTCTGCTCATTGTCTTAAAAAAATATTACATAAAAACAACATTAACATAGAAAAAATGGTAAACAAAACAAGGTCTTTAATCAATTTTAATATCCGAAATCGTTAGTTGACTCTATATTGGTGTTAATGTCCTAAACTTAAGATTGTCAAAATTTATGTATTTGTTCCTATTATCGTGACAGATACTTTTTAAATAGCAAAAATGATCAGCATGACAAGATCTACACAGTAGTTTCATGGCAGCAATCCTTTTGCGTTTTGCTGTTAGTTAACTACTTTTAGGATTTATTACCCTTTATTCTGACTTATATCGTTTTGTATCTTTTTGCCTTATATCTTAAAAACTGTTGTATATATAGATGAAACTTCAAAACAGAAATATATGTAGCAAACGAAAATGTCGACCACTTCCTTTTCAAACAAAATATCAAAGAAACCAAGTGTCACGAAGTCTTACGTTTATGATCATGGTTGAATTTAACTATAGTAACAGTGATTCTATCAATGAAAGTAAACACACTAAATAAGTTTATTGATAAATGAATGATTCATTAACCTTTAATATCCAATATTGCTTTTATTTGACTTGTGCAAAAATGTACTCACAAATATATATTCACAATCAAGGTGTTTTAACATCATCACCTTATTCTATTCACGGTCAATTATTTTAAATCAAAAGCCAAAAAAACAACAAAAATTGTTCGGTGACCTGTCTGCATTCTCGGGTGCGCGTATTGCTTTTCTTTTTGTAAAAAAAACTGATTTGTCCTGTATGATTTCATTAGGCCTTTAACGTTTATGTTAGGTTATATATTTTCAAATGATATAGGCTCGAGCATCACTAAAGAGACATGCATTTTCTGGTACAATTCATGTTATTACTACCTCTGGATCAACTACGTGCAAATTCAGACATTGTTTGATTATAATTTGCTGTTGTAAAATTTCAAAATTAGTATAAATCAAGGTATGCATCATCGTCATGCAAACCTCTGAATCTTTGTCCGGGTTTTGCATAACTTTCTGTCATTTCGATTTGTCAACTCTACAACGTTTGTATGGTTTCGGATTTTCAGATATTTAGCATAGATTATCACTGAAGGGATATTGATTGTCGAAATGCGCATCTAGTGCTGTACAGCTGACTAGTTCTGTAAATGTTACTATATATAGAAAATACAGAGATTAAATCAATGATGACTGTTTCTAAATTTATCTTTAAATGTACTTATATTTGAATAGTTTGTGTAATCTTTTTATATCATATATCACATTTGCAATATAACACTGTACCAGGTAAGTTTGTCTAGTTTAAGTCTTTGATATTTGAAGAGATTTTAAGTAATGATTATCGCAAAATTGTAGTTTAGTGGTTCTGCAAACTCGTCAGATACCTTAAACCATGATCAGTTTTTCTTATGTTCATTTTATTAACTTACATAACAATTAGTTTAAATGTGACAATATACACAAAGAAAAAATGTACAATACTCAATTCTTCCGTGTTAGTGACTTTAAATTGATGTGCTTTGTAATTTGTTTTATGTTTAATTGTTGAAATTTACATTTGATATGTTAATTACGTGACCGTACTATTCTAAGGTAGTAATTATATTTACGAAAATTGATTGCAAATCATATGATTTTTGACATATCTGAACTTAAAATACATTCTGAATTGTCATGCAGTGCGGAAGTCAGAATAAATCACTGTTCAACCATAAAAGATTTCGCTTACATCCATTATTTTTAGATAAAGGTAAGTAGGGTATAGAAATATGACAATCCCCGACCGTGAATTCAGTAGACCTCAAATCATGATCTACATACTGTATTAATTAACAGCACATACAGAATGGACAAGAACGTTTCATTGGTCTCTCATGAAGGAAAACTAAGAAAAGCTCTTTGATGGGTTCTTAGGTGGCTTACCTTATCCATTATACATACATATACATTAACAGGATACTTTGGAGTCTTTTGCTCAAAGGAGACCGACTAATCGTAAGGTTAAAATCATATCTTGTCATATATGTTATCTACTAGAAAAACAAATACTAGTAGTGATTCATGATACTTCCGTTAAAGTAGAACGTGTATAACAGTATAATACAAATATCGTATTGTTTTCTGATAATGATAGAACAATGGTAAAGCTAGGTCCACACTGCCGATCTGATCAACTCGATCAAACCCGATTAAGACAGATTAAGTGATCGGGAGACTGGTCTGACTCAATCGACAAGAATGTTCGGGGTTGTCTACCTTGGTCATCATCGATCTTACTTTCTACCCGAGAGTTTTTGACATGTCAATAAAATTCGAGTAAGGATCGAGAGCCAGCCACTCGGGAAGAGATCGATAATTCGTCGAGTAGTGGTCGAATTGATCATGTAGAGATCGAGTTTGGTCGGAATTAGAATATTTTACCGATCAGTACTCGATCATCTCGACCTTTGCTCGACTAATATCCGATAATTTCCCGATCAACGCCAACCTGTTTGATCTGTGATCCAGATTAACTCGACCAATGCCCGATCGCCTCCAGATCACTGCAACTTCTTTATTTTTTCTATCTCAGACCCACTCGACCAATACCTGATCTCCACGCGACCACACTCGACCACTCTTCGATCTCTACTCGGCCATACACGAGTACACATGACTACTACAGGATTCTCTAAAAGTGTATGCAGATCTGATTACTAGTAACTCTCATAACTTAGCTTCCGCAAAAATATATTGTCACTATTTTTTTTTAACGGTACAAAAATTCATTCATGTCCAGTATTGTCTGTAGTTTTGCAAGTAGGGGTAAAATTTTGAAAGAGAGGCAAAAAATACTAAAGGAACAATCAAACTCAAAGGTCGAAAACAAACCGACACAGCCATGGCGAAAAACGTAAACCGACGAGAAGACAAACAGCATTCCACATAACACAACATAGAAAACTAAAAACTTAGCAACACGAAACCCAACAAAACCTTGGATGAACTCAGGTGCTCCGGAAGGGAAGTAGATGTTGCATTTTGGCCCCGGTGGATTTTCAAATATGAAAGTAATTGTGCAATAAAAATCAATTATTAGACAGCTGATGACTCATTTGGCCTTCAAAGTGGGTTTATAAGAAGATCAAGATTATTTTTGACCTGTTTTATGGGATATTTCTGTTTGACTGTCCGTATTTTCCGTATGTCCAGAAATTTTTGTATAATAAAAATAAGAAGATGAAGTATAATTGCCAATGAGACAACTCTCCACAGGACACCAAACGACACAGAAATTAACAACTATAGGTCACCGTTCGGTTAAATGTTTACAAACACTTTTTTTCACACGAACTTTTCGACGCAATTTTACACAAAGATGAGACGAAAGACAAATGATTTTTATTTGATCTCTTGATAGATAATTGTTAACAGTTTCAGAAAAGGTATCACTCCAGGGGATTGAAATTCTACTTTTGGCCAAATTTTGGGGAATATGTGACATCTCTACCCCCTTTTTGCAATATTTTTTTTAGCAAATACATGCAGGTTGTTGCCATGGATACACCAACAAGAAATATCTTTAATCATTCAACTACTGAATATCAGTCTTCTTGTTCGTCTTCTACGCTCTCTTCCAGCTCCATCAAAGCTATTATTCTGTCTCTCTGAGCTCTAAACACCTTGCCCACAAATCCAACTGCTTTATTTCCATGTAGATATTTTAAATGTATGAGTTTACTTAGACCTTCTATGAACTACTGAATCTAACTAAATAAACGGAGAATATGTCAATGGGACACAGATAATGCTCCAGTTTGCATATAACGTTATAAAGGGTCATTACCCAAGAACGGTAAAAGTGACGCTAACCAAATTCGCACTTGATCTGTCTTTTATTTATCATAAATTTGGTTGTGGCAAAATAAGATTAGAGACTTACAGACGGACAAGGGTAACACTATATACCCCTTTCGCTGCGGTGGGGCATAAAAAAATCAGACGTTTTTATACTGAAATTGTACATACCCGATCAATTCCCGACTATCACTACGACCCCTATACGATCAGGTCGATCTGGTCTGATCGAGATTACGCTGAGATCGAGTAAAGTTGATTAGGACTAGCTAGTCGAGTAAAGATTGTGTAGAGATCGTGAATTGGTCGGAATTATCGAATATGTATTTAATTAGTGGTCAGTTTGGAGTCGTGATTGAGTCATTAAGAAGTCGTGAATAGTCGAGTTAAAGTCGTGAACAGTCGATTAGCGTTCGGGTAGAAGTCGTAAACAGGCCCGATCAAGAATTTGGTTAACCTTGGTCGTGGAAATTTGGACAATCGGGATAATCGAGTTGATCTAATCGGCAGTGTGAACCTAGCTTAAACAGGACATTGGACTGGTAATACTAAATTTGAGGTAAAAGTCATTATAAAAAAAAACAAATTTCGCTCAATAATAATTTCTATATTGTTGTAGGCATAATGTAACAGCAAGATAAACATCGATAGACAATGGCACCAATCACAATAGAGGAAGAACATTTTCTACGAATCGTTCAGTTAATATTTGGAGTAGTAGTTGAGGCGGTGAGAACTATCTTTGACAAGTTTTTTCCCCCATTAACGTTACGTCACACTCTTCAAGCGAAGAGGAAAGATATGCAAGATCTACAAAAGAAACAAATATTGAGAAAATCTCAGATGGATGTTTTATTTCCCTCAACAGGTTAGAATTCAGTGTTTCGTAATCCATAAATATCATTGGTAACGTGAGTTAACAGCTATTTAATAGCTATATATGCATTTTCCCGATTTCAGCTATTTTGATAACAGGGGTGTCAACCAGACCTGGGGTAGTTACAAATGTAATTGCAATTAGCTGTAATTAGTTATAATTTTGAAAGTAATTCAATGTAATGCGTAATTGAGCATATTTTCAATTACATGTAATTGAAAGTAATGAATTACACTGCCTTTTTGCCATGTAATTGTGAATTTCTTTTCAATTACTTTGAATTACATTTAAATAACTGCATGGAAATTTAAAACATTTTTGGCTTTTCTAATGCATTTTGTATTTTTTCCCTTCATTTAGCAAACACTTGGTATTTTCATTTTTCTTATTACTTTTTTAATATTTATCACGATGAACAAAATCTACCATTCCTCAAGATATTTTATTAATCATTATAGCATGTATAATAATCTTTGTTTGTATTTAATTCATTAATTTTTCACATGTTTACATAAAAAATCTAAAAAGTAAAAACAATACCATTTTATTTATATACAGTTTGTAAATATTGTTCTAACAGTTAACAATAATCTAAGCCTCAGGTTAATCTTTTCATTAAACTAATCATTACAAAAAGTATACACGAGTTGTTTTCTAATGGACGTTTAGCATGTTTAGGTTCATCAGAGGGAATAAAAAAAGACGTATTTACAGTACACAATTTACTCTCTGTGCATACATACCTGTGCACCTTGAAAACTTTTATTGCATGCCATGAAGATACACAACTTTTAAAAACAGCTTATTATTCAGACAAAATAAATACTTACCTTGATTTTTGCAAGCCATTTTTGTTTGTTTGTTTCAACGAAGGTGTCAAAATACCATGAATGAAAAATTGTTTTTTAGTTTTTTTTTTTAAAGAAGATTAATTTCACATTCAAAATATCTAGTTTCTACAAAGCCCTTTTAATATTCCAGCAGCACGTGTTTGCCTATACACGTACTAATAATAAAGTTTGTATTGTAAACACTGCCTCATATGCAGTTTTATCTGATGCACCTTAACTTTTTACAATACTGTCTTCAAAAATATACCATCATTGATAGCTAATTTATGACATATCTTTATTAAGTTAACAATGAACTAATAAAGGACTTAACAAACACCCATTGAGTATAAATGACCATAAAGTCAATCCAGATGACATAACCCATTATCTTATTTATCGTCAACTCATCTACAATGCATTTTATCATTTTCCGAAACTCATGAAAGAGTGCGAACAATTTGTTCTTGTTTATAAGTGACTTTTGACCAATACATTTCACAAGCTAAACATAAATTTGCAGGGTCTAACGTTTTACTAAGACACCTGGGCCTAAACTATTCTGATCACTTGTGGTCCGTCATCATCGTCGTCCGTTCCGTTTTATACAATCTTCTCCTCTGAAACTACTGAGTTAAATGTAGCAAAAATCCATAATCATCATTTATCATTTAATTTAGTTGTTTTTATTTTGTAAATGTGTACTTTACAAACCCACATAGCTGACATCGCAATAATTTAATATTTGGGTAAAATGCAGGTTTTGTTTATAGTCTTGAAAAAGGACTTTAGAAAGACAAAACCTGACGTGGCAGAAATGTTCAGAATGTTGAGATCTACATATTGTCCATTGACGTCAAAACTCTCAGACGATTGCTTGGAGTAATTGCCGTTTAGGACGAATTTTATATTTTTGTTTTGTTTTTTACTTTTTTTGTACTTGATTATAAGAATAGATAAAGAAAAACTTAAAACGAAAACATGATCAACAGGACAAGATTCACAAATGAGTCTCTATTTCCGAAATCGTCAAATGACTCCTTTTTTGAGACATTATCCTTAAATGACATTTTTTGTTCCATTTAATTATTCCTTTTCTGCTCATTGTCTTAAAAAAAATATTACATAAAAACAACATTTACATAGAAAAAATGGTAACCAAAACAAGGTCTTTAATCAATTTTAATATCCGAAATCGTTAGTTGACTCTATATTGGTGTTAATGTCCTAAACTTAAGATTGTCAAAATTTATGTGTTTGTTCCTATTATCGTGACAGATATTTTTTAAATAGCAAAAATGATCAGCATGACAAGATCTACACAGTAGTTTCATGGCAGCAATCCTTTTGCGTTTTGCTGTTAGTTAACTACTTTTAGGATTTATTACCCTTTATTCTGACTTATATCGTTTTGTATCTTTTTGCCTTATATCTTAAAAACTGTTGTATATATAGATGAAACTTCAAAACAGAAATATATGTAGCAAACGAAAATGTCGACCACTTCCTTTTCAAACAAAATATCAAAGAAACCAAGTGTCACGAAGTCTTACTTTTATGATCATGGTTGAATTTAACTATAGTAACAGTGATTCTATCAATGAAAGTAAACACACTAAATAAGTTTATTGATAAATGAATGATTCATTAACCTTTCAAATATGAAATATCTGCACAGGAGCAATATCGGAAAACCCTTTTCATAATACTAAAAAAAAATAATAATCAAGAAGAAAAAAATGTTCTTGAATTAGTCTTTAGTTTGTATTATTATGAAATAATTGACTGATCTTTATTCTTAATCTGTTCACTTACTTTGCACATCTCAATAAGTACAAATATACTGTAATGGCTAGATCTGTTTTATGTTTGTTTAAAGGGACACTAGCTGTCAAATTCATGTTCACCGATTTGACTCAAATCCTCATATTTGATTTATAACATAGTAAAACATATATCCAAATTACAATAAGTCTAGAATAAACAGTTAACAATGCATGTACACGATAATATATATCAGAATTTCGTGTGTATTTTAGTCTAGATACCATCTAAATAACTATCGAGATGACCTCCGAATACTGCCAATGGTCACATAAACATAGATATGAATAGCCTAGCAACCTCGTGGAATTGGATTTTTATAGGTCGGTTTGATTTCATGTTATGGGATAAAAAATAAGTTAATTAACGTTTTTACCTGTATAAGAATTATTTTTTTGTGGATCGATTCAATCAACGAAGTGGTTCACCTTTGTTTTACTTTTAATGTTGACATTCTTTTCCTTTTAATTGCTGAACACGACTTATGCATGCGTAACCAATCTCTATCTAATGGGTTATATTGAAGGTCATATGAATACGGATTGAATGAGGTCGAATTATTCACTTGCAAGTGAATAATTCATCAGCGATATTTTTCTGCTTATTTTGACAAAATTGAACCAAATTGGCTGCTAAAAACGAATAATTATTTCATTATTTCACTTTTATTAGTGATTGAACCAAACGAAATCATATTCTAATTTTTATTCATAATTCGTAACTAGTGACCCTTTAATGTTATTTTTGCCTTGTTTGTCACTTGCTCATTATACTTATTGATAAAGGATTTAAAAAAATGTGTTTTCTTTTTGGCAGGCTTTCCATCCTCAAATAATTTTGACATTACTTTAATGGTGTGTTTACTGCAGAATCTTAAACAAGTACAACCGCACTCACTAAAGACGAATGTAATGCCACCATCTTCCGACAAGAGTGAGGGAGCAGATTTAGTAAGATTAAGATTTCACAGGAATACGATTGGGCATATAGAGAGAAACACGATAAATACGCACATCTTTACAACCATGTGGGCAGACATCACACAGGTATTTTTTTCCCTATATATTGAAAAATATCCTTTTAGTTTTTTAGTAAAAAATATAATTTCTTATTCAGCGCATTCAGTGACAATGACCATTTTTGTTATGGTATATCAAAAAATGGTTTATTTAAATATGACCTACCGAATAAGACTATTTACCGCGTTTGTAATAACATGAGCAACACAACGGGTGCCACATGTGGAGCAGGATCTGCTTACCCTTCCGCAGCACTTGAGATCACCCCCAGATTTTGGTGGGGTTCGTGTTTCCTAGTCTTTAGTTTTCTATGTTGTGTCTTGTGTACTATTATTTGTCTGTTTGTCTTTTTCGTTTTTAGCCATGACGTTGTCAGTTTATTTTCGACCTATGAGTTTGAATGTCCCTCTGGTATCTTTCGCCCCTTTTTTTAAATCTGTGTAATAGGAATATATGTATGACCTTCTTTTAAAATACAAAATAATATTATCAAGTTTACGGTCTTATAGATAAAATAGAATCGATATATCTAACTTCAAGTACCCATTTTGCAACCGTCTATTCTTTTTTATTTTTTTATTTTGTACGAAAGTTTTCCGTGAACCGGTTTTTAATCCATAAAAAAAATAAACTCCTTATGTGATCAGATAAACCAAAGATAACTACTTTTACAGCGTTTATCGATTGTTTTTCAAGAATCAGATTTAAATCATCATTGAGTCTACATCATATGTTCATAATTTGTGCCATGGCTTCCAGTGTGTTGCAAAACTTAATGCCACTATGAATTCGTATTTTAAAATTATAAAAAAATAAATATATTTTTTTTCTTGTGCACCAGGGTTCAATGATAAAATGTGTAACATTTTCAACTGTGGTCCATTTGATGAACAAAACGTTACGAAGGTCATGAGATACAATCAGTTTTTGTTTTAATTTTGTACCTTGAATTTTATCTTCTTAATCGATGGAATATTTTGAACATCCCTTAATATCTGTTGGATAAATCTATGCCCAATTAAAAGTTTCTTAAATGCTGAACGCATCGGGTGTCTCGTGGTAACATGCTTGCCTTGAGTGCAAGAGTTCATGATTTCAGTCCCAAGACAGGTAAAACCAAAGATTGGAATATTGGTATTTTTGGCTCCTCAAGAAAACTATCCCCGCAGCATTAAGGAGCATGAGCAAAGGCTGGTTAGCTCAGAGTTAAAATACTGTGTCCGGGAAAAGTGACATGACTGCCTGCGCGCCTTTAAAACTAGCACACAAAATACTCGGTTCGGTACAAAAATTTATGTCAGTCTAGTAAAAAGCAGGGTTCATAATCATATGGCATTTACGTCCTGCGTATTATTCTATTTTGCCATTTGGCGATAAACAGCCATCCATAATTATCATTATTATGATCGTAGATAGGTATTTTCTATGTTAAGAACATCGATAGCCCATCCCACGTGGCTTTTCATTTCTGAATATCAATTATGCAACAGATATTTTCCTGATTTGTCCAAATATAAAAAAAGTTTGGAAAAATAGCATATATTCTGATTCATGTGATTTCACCAAGTCACGTGACTTTTGATGACCAAACGTGAGGGTGCAAAGTTATTTTTCTATTGAAGTTATGTGATTTAGGGACAACTATTTTGTTTTTCACAGAGGGAGGGTTCAGAAGGATATTTTTTTCGCACAAATTATTCATTTTCACCTTTGCCAGAATGACTTACACAAATGTATTTATTTCACTTTTGTTCACGATTATTTGATGCATTTGGAAGATATATTCATGTTCGTCCAGTCTGTGGAGGAATTGTTTTCTTTAGTTCTTACATTGCAATGATATGCGTTTAAAATATCCTCTTGCACCTATCCAAACTTATCAAATGGCAATGACTGTCCCCTTACTAAGAGTTAAAATAGGATCAAACATGGTGTTTGGTCGTTAACGTGTTTACATTATCTGTGGTTAATATATTTTATCAAATTGATTTATCACATCGTCTTATCTGATAAAACATTTCTGAACTAAATACAAAAGTTTCCAATGTTCATCTATAATACTTCAGATATATTGTACTTATAAACTGAATTTTCTACTGTGTACTCCATGTACAAGCTGTTATCAAATTGAGAATATTGGTCTTTATAGGCTGTCCTGAGACTTGGAGGTTCCAAGTACCAACAGAAATGCGATGATATAAGAAATATGACATTTGACACCACAATCATCAGCAATATTCAGCAAGAAGTGCAAGGTTTAAAAAGCATGTTAATAGATGAATTGAGTGACATAAATCAGCGAGTATTAAATATTGAGCAACAAATGGATAGCCAAACGACATCTGGTATGCAATTTGTCCAAATAATATCGAACCTTTTGAAAAGCAAAAAACATCATGTTTTGAATATTAAAAAAAACGAATATATTGATTGTGTCATCTTTGCCTGGTCCCGTGATTAATTGAAAAGCCAAATTGAAAAAGCCATCACACTGATATTAACATATGATTACATATGCATGCTCCAATCTATTCAACATTTTAACTGCGTGGGAAAAAAATGTAGTAGAAATAGCGTAACAGTTATATTTGTTATCATATTTAAACTTTCCTCCCGTATCTTTGATGTCTCTTATGCTCATACAATTTGACAATATCATGGAACTATAAACAACTGTCAAAGAAGTTGGAGGTTTAGCTAGCAATGCCCAGGTTTAATCCTTTATTTTCTTCAGAATATACCTGTACCAAGTCAGGAATATAACATTTGATATTTATAATGTTCAATTTTCGACTTACCCTTTCAGAATTTGCCTTTAGAATTATCAAAAATTCCAATAGCCACATAAGAAGAAAATAAACTTTGCTAAGACGAAAACAAAACAAAACTACAGCTGCTTGCAATGATTGAGGAAAATATTGCTTCATTACCTTCAGAACAAAGGGAACAGTTTGAAATAGAAAAAAAATTGATATGCCAAAAAATCAGTTATCATAGATTGTGTCAACATTGTGAGACAAGAATTTAGAAATGTTTTAAGCAGTTTTGATGAAATATGATAGATGATATAGGTTTCATACATGTTCTGTACCTGTCAAATTCTAAACACAGTATCCTATAGTAAGTATCTCTTTTCAAGAAAATCAATCTTTTTGAAGGATGTTTGTATACAAAAGTAAGGAGATGTGGTATGATTGCCATTGATACAACTATACACCAAATTTCAATTGTTCCGTATCCAAAATTCAAGGATCCCTTATTTTCTTAACTACTTTATGAAGAAAGTTTGTCTTTTGGGTAATTGTGTTTTCACTGTTGTTTCGTTGCTGTCTTGTGGACGAATACCTGAAATCTTCGTATAATAATCAATCATATTAATGACTATATTTCGGGTAATTCAAACACTCGTTTCTTCGCATAGAAATAACTCTTCGTTAATCTGAGCATGGAACGAATATTTTATATCACGGACGTTAAAAGAGGGACGAAAGATACCAGAGGGACAGTCAAACTCATAGATCGAAAACAAACTGACAACGCCATGGCCAAAAATAAAAAGACAAACAGACAAATAATAGTACAGATGACACAACATAGAAAACTAAAGACTAAGCAACACGAACCCCACCAAAAACTGGGGGTGATCCCAGGTGCTCCGGAAGGGTAATCAGATCCTGCTCCACATGTGGCACCCGTCGTGTTGCTCATGTTATTACAAATCCGGTAAATAGTATAATTCGGTAGGTCACATTCGTGAAAAGGGAAGGGTATTGTAGTTACAACATATAAGGAACATATCCGATATCATCTGTGAAACGGTTATTCCATAACGGTCAACCAACTCGTGATGGTGTCCGTAAAATTTACGAAGGGATGATTTCAACTTCACCATTTGGAACTCTTGATTTAATAGCTTCCTTGTGAGCAGTAATCCTCTATCAAGGAAATCATGATAGGAAATACAAGCCCGGAAATATCGTATCAATTGGGAGATATATACTCCATATGCAGGCGCTGCTGGAAAGTTACTTCATAGAAATGGAAAGTTCACAATTGGGAAGCTGAAATCATCTCTTTTGTCGTAAAGTTTTGTTTTTAACCGACCCTCATTGTCAATTTCTAGATGTAAGTCAAGATATGAGGCAGACTTAACTGTATCTGTAGTATCCTGTATCTCTAGTTCGATGAGATAGATTCGTTCAACATAGTCACCAATTCTTTTATAATTTAGTGAGAGAACATGTGGATACAAAAATTGAAAATCTAAGCGAAGCTAAAAAATAATCATGTGTTTGGAATAATTTCTTTGAAATAATCTTAATTGCACTTTTTATAGTGGTATCATTAAACTGCAAGATTAATCCTTTCCTGAAATGTTTTAGTTTATTTCTTGCAGATATTCACAAAGTCATGATAGAAAAATGGGAATACGACAACAAAACTTTTGTCCATACAAATGCAATCAAACATATAATGTCATTGATTGAGAATGAACAATGCATTTTAATAAAAGGAAATCCAGGGTCTGGGAGAAGCTTTACAATTCGGCATATTGCATTAAAACTTCGGGACCGACAGTGTAAACATGAATATGAAATTGTTTTATGTAGAGAATCTAAGGATATCGAAACAAACTATAAGGCACAAGCATACCAAGTATTTGTTTGTGATGATATATGCGGAGAATATACGATTGATCGCTGAGAAGCTAACAGATGGTCGTCCCAACTGTCAAGAGACATTTTAACAACCATTCTCAGCCGTGGGAAATCAAAACTTCTTCTTTCGGTGAAAAATCAGGTATTTCAAGAATCTCTGGTTTCAGAATTAAACTACTTAAAGTTTGCCCTGATAGACATGTCAGATGAAAATGTCGTGACACTTGATCAGAAATGTACAATAGCAAAACAGCTTCTATCAATGGACGATGAGGCTGATGGTTCTATTATAGATAACTGTAGACAAATTAACATTTTACGTAATATAGAATTCGCACCCCTTACATTTACGATAGTGCTTGACGATTGCGACGAAAACATTCCACTGTTTTATGCAGACCCAATTGAAACTTATTCTAAGGAATTAAATGCATTAAATAATGTTGAAGACAAATCAAAACTATGTGCATTATTTTTCCTGATTGTTCACAATGGTAATATTGACGAGAACTATTATTCTGTCAAAGAGACTATGCATGATCGAAATCAAAGAGAAAGCATTTCTGAGGAATTTGGAATTCAACAAAACACTCCAAGATCTAGCATAGAGGATCATTTAATGATGTTTGAAGGACGGTTAACTGTTAATGAAAGGGGTATTTTTCGCGCTAAGTACCATATATATTTTGATTTTCTTTGTTTTTTCTTTGGTGAGAACATTAAAAAAATGCAGAAGATGTTTATTAACTACGCACATAGTCAAGTTATAAGCAGGAAAACTGTTTTCGATTCCCTCCTGCAGTTAGACGATGTTCCTAGATTTACAATTTCGATCACATCGAAAAACGAACAGATTTATTTTAAAAGAATGGTAGAGGACATTTGTGACGGAATTATTTGGGATACTTTAGAAAATACTCAACTTCATCACGATCATACATCATTGACATTTAGTTTAAGATTTTTCAAATACTTAGAAATCCTAGATGATGACAAAAAAAGAGACATTGTGAACAGTCTTGATCGAACAGGGTCATGTAGCACCGCTTCTACTCTTTATGTTACAGTATACTTTGGACTTGTGCAGATAGTAAAATACCTTTTACGAATTTCTTCAGCACAATTGCAGGACAGCCAAGACAAGTTTCCACCTTTAATTGCAGCTTGTGAAAGAGGACATGAACCCATAGTCAACTTGCTAATTGACTATGAACCAGATATAAATCAAATGGATTCTTTTGGCAGAAGACCTCTTATAGTAGCTGTTCAAAATGACTATCCTGGTGTTGTAGAAATGCTCATAAACAAAGATGCAAATATAAACTTGGCAGACAAAAATGGTTGGACGCCATTCTTGTGGGCTTGCATATTGCACAGAGAAGAGGTAGCAAAACTCCTTATGGAACACGATGCCGATGATAATCAAGCTAGTAATGATGGATCAACTCTTTTGTTTTGGTGTTCAGTTATTGGTTTTCAAAAGTTTGTTGTCCTTCTGCATGAAAAGGGAGCAGAAGGGTCACTTTCAACTTCTAATACTGATGGGAAAACACCACTGATGGCTGCATGTTATTTCAGACGACAAGAAATAGTCATCTATTTGCTTCAGCATTTGGAATCTGTCGACGAATCTGACCATGAAGGTTGGACCCCCTTAATGGAAGCTTGCTTTGACAATGACAACGGTAGCTGGGATAGATTTTTAGATCAATTAGAAAAGGGAGACTGTCTATGGTTTCCACTTCTAAAAACTGTAACAGAAAGGGTTTTATACTATAATGACTCCCCTGGACATGAATCTGTAATTAAACAATTACTTTCAAAAGCTGATATAGATCTCCAAGATAATGAAGGTAAATCTGCTCTTTACCATGCATGTGAATGGCAATACAATCGTATTGTCAATATTTTGACCGAAATGGGAGCAAATGTAAATTTAGAAGCAAAAGATAAATCGACTGCCTTAATGGAAGCCTGTTTATTAGAGGATGAAGATATAGTACAGCCTATAATGGAGGCACCAATTGGCCCTTGTAGACCAATAATCGAACAGCTTCTTAGCAAGGGTGCAGATGTAAATTCAACTGACGAAAACGGTTTGAATCCATTTGGTTATAGTTGTGAGACAGGAAACAGTAACATGATTCATAGATTAATTGAGTATACAAATAATGTCAATCAAACCTACAAAAATGGGAATACACCTCTGCAAATGGCTGAAAAATCTGGTAATGATGAAATAATTAGTTTGCTTATACAGAAAGGCGCCAATCAAACTGGAAAAACTTTAAAAATGGAATCACACGATAAAGGATTTGAAACTATGAGCTCAGATGAATCGATCTCTGATAGCTCAGATTCTGAAAATGAATCCTTGACCGATGCTAAAAAAGTTACAGGCAGATCGTTACTGCAAGCTTGCAGAAATATAAATGAGCATATGTTTCCATCATTATTACAGGAAGCAGCAAGTGAGAATATTTTGAACATTTCAGGCAAAAAAGGTAAAACTCCATTGCTGGAAGCTTGCAGATATAAAAATATAGCAAAAGTACAAAATCTGTTAGAAGCAGGAGCCAGTGTCAATAAAGAAGATATAAACCGTTGGACACCACTTTTAGAAGCATGTAAAGTTGGGGAAAAGGAAATAGTACTTCTTATCTTAGAAAACAATGTAGACGTCAACAAAACGGATGCTCGCGGATATTCTCCCCTTCTATTTGCATGTAAAAATGGATATAAGGACATTGTAGAAATACTTCTAAGTCATCGGGCAGATGCTAACATTGCCAACAATGCAGGAATAACACGTCTTCTAGTAACATGCACAAAACAGTATACTGACATAGTCCAATTACTAATATATAACGGAGCAAATATAAACCAAACGGATGCTTATGGCAATACGTCACTAATGGTTGCAGGTTTTTATGGATACAAACAAATAATTGAAGTCCTTCTATCGGAGGAAGCAAATATCGATCAAAAAGACAGTGAAGGATGGACAGCCCTTTCCTGGGCGACAAAAGGTGGTTATGAAAATATCTTTGTTAAGGCGGCATACGTTTCTTCGGTAAAGGAAAGCCAAACCAGAAATGAACATACAGAAAAGCCAACTTAAAAATTATAGGTACGAACAGGAAACGTCAGTATTACATAAGAGTGCCTAATATATGTTATGTTTAACTACACCGGATGTAAATGTGGACGTAAAATAATAGTAACATTACACGTACGCGTTATCGCACTCCTTATATTGACTCCATTGTGATACTACTTCAATCCCTATAACAATATACATTAAATTAATGATAAATATTGTTTATATATAATAAAACAATATATACCCCTACGGTGAATCAATGTTGAAACCAAGCTCAAAGTATTTAGTCTCCCATCCTGCTGTCCTACATTTTTTAAATCATTCTACAATGTGTAGAAACAACTGGTTATAAGCAAGCAATGTCACTGTAGTAGACATACGCTCTTAAACCACAAAACATTAGGGTTACATGTAACTGGTGAGAAGACAACAATGAAGAGGTTACTATCCTTGTGTGTTATGTTAAAACTCTTCCTAAACAGTTATGTTTTGAATAACTGTTTAACTGTCTAGCTTAAAATATACGCGTAAAGTCATTGATTTTGTTTGCTTTTATCGTTTTTCTCTATAGTTTCGTAAAAGTAACACAAACAACATAGTCCTTTTGGACAGGTGAGCTAAAACAAAATAGGAAATGAATGATCAATTTTTTGGACCCTGGTATTGGAAACAGAGGCAGAACATAACAAGAGGACAATCAAAAATTCACAAGTCAACAGTCAATACCATGGCTAGAAAAAACATTTGAAGTTAATTTCTTAAAGAAAAGAAGCTACAATTGTATATCAAATTTCATGATAGGATATAACAATCATGAAAATACTGAACAGTTTTTATCAAAATAATTACCAGCCAAGGCTTTAACTAAAAGTGATATCTTACCCATAGTAACCTTTTTTTCACCAGATATCGTTTATCCAAATATGTTGGCCTCGAGGATCACCGAAGAGGCATTTATTGTAGGAATGCGCATCTTATGCAGTAAAAGTGGTACCGTTAATGTAATATTCATATCTCAAATAATGCTTGCAGTTTTATAATAAATTCAATAATAGAAGCCATAATACAATTATGCAAAATGTAATTAAGAACAATACTGATATTTGACAGACTAGTGATCAGTATTTGAAGAATATTATTTAAAAGATATACAAGAGAGTTAATTGGTGCTCGCACCAAACTTTTGGGCCGGAAATATGGAGGTTTTTGGCGTAAAAAAAAAGTGCAAAATATTATATAAACAATCTGTATATTGAGTTGACTTAAATCCTCAATTGCCAGGACTGTTCCAATCCAACTAGTTATGATCATGCTATAAAATATAACTTAATTGAATTAGTTGATGAAATCGAATATCTTTTAACTGCAGTTGATGAAATGGAATATCATTTAATTCATTTTCAAGACTTGATTTTGAAACACGTGACAATCAAAGTTGCATCTACTGACAAAATATTTGTATTCCTTGTGTTTTCATCAGGACGCCTTGGTTATTCAAGACGCATCTATGAACAAAATATCATGAACTATGACTTATACTTCCACAGATAGATGGACTTGATGAAACACTATATCCCTTCCCCAACTTTGTTTGACAAAAGATATAAAAGTCTTAAAGCAAACAAATGTCAAACTATTCCTCTCAGTAAATGTTGAGAAATCCTGGACATAATGTTTTCATTTCTATTCGGTTTGGGTGAAATTTAAAAGTATCAACAAACAGTCATAAAAATATGAATGTAGCTTTGTATAATATTTAACAATGAATTCTGCTCAAACCGATGCGAGGGGTCAATTTGAACTTACTACCAGTTAAAAGAAATATTGATCATTGTTGAATGCCTCATGGTGACTTGAAGATGAAGGGCAACAATAAAAACGTTTCATTTTTGGGTTTTACTATGTATTGATATTGATATTGTCTCATGTACATTTACTCCATATCCCTTCATATTTTCATTGGGTATACGACAGACTAAAAACTGCTGCAAATAGTTATCAAAGGTACCAGGATTATAACTGTATACGCCAGACGCGCGTTTCGTCTACATAAGACTCATCAGTGACGCTCAGATCAAAATAGTTATAAAGCCAAACAAGTACAAAGTTGAAGAGCATTAAGGACCCAAATACATACTACAACTAAAAATCAGAAAGCTTCAGACAGTAAAGCAAATTATTCTCTTCGTAGCAGCTGAGAAATCCTTGACAAAATGTTTTCATTTCTGTTTGGTTGCAGTAAAGTTGCAAAGTATTAACAAACACTATTTAGTTTTTGTTGTTTGGTTAGTTTTTCAGATACTTTAAGTAATATGTTTGCTGTATTTCGTGTATGGAATGATTGTTAGGTCTACATGCCTATCTGACAGGTTTCATCTGACATGGACCTAATTTTCATTGTTTCATTGTGTATTTCGTGTATGGAATGATTGTAAGGTCTACATGCCCGTCTGGCAAGTTTTATCGGACATGGACCTAATTTTTGGTGCGTATTAGTCAATATTAAGTTTTCATGATTTTGTCCGTTTATCAGATGCTATAAACAATAAATCAACGATATGTGGTGTATGATATGATATCCTCGTTTACATGTTTTCTTTCAAGGTTCATTGACCCCATTTTTGAATTTCATTGGTCAATGTTCAATTTTCGTAGTTCATAGATACTATAAGCAATAGGCTAAATATATTTGGTGCATGATATAATTATAAGGCGTACATGTCTGTCTGGTATGGTGCATATGAACTTGACCTCATTTACACGGAGCATTAAAAAATGTTAACTTTATAAAAAAGTATAACAAAAATACAGTACTACAAGGCAATTTCAAAATGGAAGGAAGTCAATAAAAACTGACAAAATCGAACGTTATCAAGCTACGGAATAAGTGAAAAACATCTTTCATGTTCCTAGATATAACTAGGTAAACCTCTCACTTGTATTACAGTTGTTTAGAGTTCCATTATACTGACAAAGGTGGGTGAGCAAACCAAACAGACATATAATAGGCTAATATGACAATAATTTGGACCCAGCAGCCAAAATTGTGTAAGCTTACAGCACAGACATACAAAATGTACAACAAAACTGACGTAAAAAATTAAAAAAAAAATTAAAAAAATTAATCTTAAAAAGGCGTCAAGAAAAAAAGGTGAAGCAGGTCCTTAAAAATGATTTTGTCAGTTTTTACGTTATAAATATCATGCGTATGAAGTTTGACAATGAGGTAAAAATAAAAAAGGTTTTGTCGTTGATTATACAAACCGTACATAGAATAAACTTTCTCGATAAAGTAAAAATTAAGTAAATATGAAACAGGACTGTAATACCCCTGTGTGTCCGAATCGTATCTCGGGACCCACCTGCACTACGAACGCCTAAAGTTAATAATCCAAAAAGACGAAGGCGGGATGCATAAATACCAAGCCTGGTCAAAGGTCAAAAATCAGTAAGGTATTTGTACTTTCCGATGAATTTTTTGAGCAAAAGGACAAGACGTTCTTTTACAACCTTGCTCATTATTTTTTTGCTCAGACACCGATGACGTTTTTTAAAGTCTAAGTAGCAGCTGCAAGCTCTTGAATGTCGTATGCGTTGAGAAATGTATACTCCATACGCGGGGTTGAAGTTGATTTATTGCTGCTAAGGTGAGGAAAATGAATAATTACAAAATTGGAATCATTTTGTTTGTCATAGATTCTGGTACTGAGATGACCGCGGTTGTCAAATTCGGGCTACGAGTCTAAAAATGATGCGGAGGAATCTGTATCTGTGGTTTCTGTAATCTCTAGTTCAGCAGGATATATAAACGGAACCCAATCAGAAAAGTTTGGATTTGTAATGCATATGACAAAATCCTAGGTACTTTATTCATATCATTTGCTCCACGTGACTTTTGCCCCTTTGGTTAAATTACTTCCCTTAGTTGTAGATTGAAAATAAATTATATATAATTGGCGGATAATCTGGTCTAGATCTGTTTCCGTTTTGAATCTAAAACTAACGTGTTTATGAAAACTTCCTTTGGCGGATATTTACAAATATTTTGTGTGATTTGAAGGAAAAATGCTTAAAATTTGACTATTTACGAAATGGGAAGGATGAAATCATCATGCTTTTAAAAGAGTTTGGCCGAAAATTTAAGAAATCTGGTGAGATAAAAGTTATTTAACCTGAAAATTCAACCTGCAAGGTGTTTTCTATATGCGGACAAAGCATGAACAATGCCGTCTTGTATCTTTATTTCTATTTTGAATCTTGCTTTTTCACATTTAATTATTACAATTATACTACGGTTACGCTTCCGATTTTCAAACTGAAAAGGCCGAAAGTTGTCAAAGTAGACAATATTCATTTGTATACGAACAGAAGGCAACAAACGGATACAATTCACTTACATGCTGACAAATTGTTGATTCGACTTAGGAATTGACATATTTGCATTTTATTTAAGGGAATATATAATCCTATTGTAATGGCTGCCGTCATAAGATGGCAATATGGCCGCTATTCAAATCAGCAAAGTATCCCAAATTTTGCCATATGGGAAAAAAATCATCAATATACCTGTATGGGAAATTGAATAATATAGCTTCTTTGATATTCTTGTTTTTACAAGTGTCTGAAGGAACTCCGACACATATGAAATTAAAACATTCGGCTAGGAGGAGTGCACAATTGGTTTCCATAGGAATGCCGTAAAATCTGCTGGAAAATTCTACCACCATATTCAACAAATATGTTGTCAACTCCAGCATACTGATCACTTATTCTTCGTTAAAGCATGTTTAATTTTCGGACTGTTTTTTAACAAAATATGTAGAATTATATCCCAAAACAATAAATGTGTTGCGTATGGTATCATTTTTATGGAGGAAAGCATTGTGGATTATTTCTTTAACCGCCCTGTGAAAACGATCAAGCTGGAACACTGTTTAAGTAGTCTTGGTCTCCTTTTCCTACATCTTTTCTTAATCAAGTTTTGTAACTTGATTTTTATTTTAATGTATCCATGAACTGCGAAATTTGACTTTCTAAGAGCGTGTGATGTTTATCACTTACATGTAATACCGAATAATGTTCGTATGAAATTTAAAAACGAGCATGCTTAAAAGACCTTTACAAGGAAGACGTAACTTTTGAAACTCCATTCAGGAACATAAATTGTCATCTTTTGAACGAATAAAGATGACAATACAGAAATAAGAAGATGTGATATGATTCAAAATATATGATAATCCACCTTATACATGTTATAACAATTTACATTGATGTTAGCAACTAAATGTAAAGGTCACCGTTTGGCCGTCAGCAATGAGAAAACCCATGATACCGTATTGTAACTATAAAAGCACCGGCATAACAAAATGTGTAACATATATGTGGATAGACAGGATATATTTAAAAATCACATAAGTTTATTCAGCAAATGACAACTTAAGAATGAAA